GATACGGCAGCCATGGGCGCCGTTTGAAAGGGGTAAAAAAGTTCAACCCTAAAACGTTTCAACACAGATTAAACTCGTATTTTTCCTTAAATTATAACGTACAAGTGTCTCAGTAAAACAACTGCCGTTCAAAATTTTTAGTCAACGATCACGAGGGTGCATTTTTAAACTTTGCATGGGCGCCATTATACGAAGATGCGTAACGGATTGGTAATTACTAATTCATATATCAGCGAAGAAAAGAGTGAGTCACGCATTCACAAGGTAGTTGTGAAAAAAAGAAAGCACGCAGTGCAATCTCTTTAAATCCTGTCAAACTCAGAGAGTGGCGTGTAACAACTTTTGTAGCCGTGCGGGTCTGTAAATAAAGGCCTACATGCAGGGGCGTGCCAAACTTTTCTGCTGCCCGGGGCGAGTTTTTGATAATGCTGCCCCTTATACCTAACCTCAAAAATAATTCAGGGGATAAACAGATTATAGATGTCATTATCCAGTGGCGGCGCGTCAATAGGGCAAACCGGGGCAATGCCCCGGTTGTTTTTTCGGTATAATAAAAAATATTCGAAAAATGCCTCAATATCGGTTGCACAGACTGTCTACACTAGCCATATTCTCCCGACATAGTTCATTTTTCGCTCGCAAAGCCTTCGCCGAACGTCGACGGAGCGACGCCGATTTTGCCCCGGTTGCTCATTATATATCGTATTCTCTCTTTTTTCTTCCACTCGCCGCGTTTGTCTCGTTTGTTTTCTGTTTCTTTTACTAAATCATCGGGGCTAGCCCCGAAATTATGACGACACAATGCCGACGTTTCTTACAACAACGTGTTGACATATTCACGCATTCCTTCTCGTTCGTTGGTTGCTTGAAGAGTTGATAGTTTCCTCGCCTTCGTTTTTGTCGCTTGTTTCGCTATTTGAATCAGTTAGAGACCTTTAGTCCTTTTGCTTTCGATTTTCCACATTCCTTTTGAGCTCCTCACTTCTTTCCGGCTTCGGATTTCTTAGCCTTAGACCTCATAATGAATAAGGTTGATGCACTACTTCGCACTCCGTTTTCGCAGCTGCCGCTGGAACAAAAATTAGAGGTACAACGTCTTGGGCCTTATCAACCAAAAAATTATTCACTGGAACAATCCCATGACGAAGGAAAGCGTCGGCGTACATTCTGCGCAGAAACTTGGTATAAAAAAACACGAATGGTTGTGTACAGCGAGGACAAAAATGCACTTTTTGTTTTATTGCCTACTTTTTGCTACCGCCCGTGACTCACGTTGGTGTAAATTTGGTTTTAGAGATCTTAAACATCTTTCCGAGCGTGCCAGGGATCATCAATCTTCTATGGAGCATCTGGACAATGCAGTAAAATACCGAACATTCGGAAATGTTAATATTGCAGCACAGTTGGATTAAGGACGCGCGGTTTCTATTCGTCGGCACAACCAAAACGTCGAAAAAAACCGCCATGTTCTCGGTCGATTGATAGATGTTTTGAAGTTCATTGGTTGTCACGAGCTGTCCCTCCGTGGGCACGATGAACGGGCTGGCTCTTCTAATAGAGGGGTATTTTTGGATATGGTGGAATACACCGCATCCCTAGATACAGTATTGAGAGATCATCTTGATGCCGCAACTGTTTCGAAAGGGACATCTAAGGATATCCAAAATGATTTGCTCGACTCAATGTATAAAATTTATTTACAACATTTGGCTCTGGAAATTGAAAATTGCCAGTTCCTTTCGATTCAGTCTGACGAGACAACTGACATCACGTGCGTTTCCCAACTGGCTGTGATTTTTCGGTTTGTGAAAGATGGTAAACCTACCGTGAGATTTCACAGCTTTGTACCAATCGTTGATCGCACGGCTTGCGGGATATCGGCTGTACTGAAAGAAGTGTTACAGCCTTACAACGCGAAGTCAAAATTGATAGCTCAAACTTATGACGGCGCGGCAGTCATGAGTGGGTCGAAACATGGTGTTCAAGTTTATATAAAAGAAGATTTTCCTCATGCGCATTTTTTACATTGTTATGCACACCAATTTAACCTCGTTATTAAAAATATGTGTCTTGATACCCCTCTCTTCCGTATATTTTTTGCAAATGTTTCGGGGTTTTCTTCATTTTTTTCCGTTTCGCCGAAGCGCTCTGACCTCCCTCGCCAGATATGTAGCCGCCGTCTCCCAGCTTGTGCACCAACACGTTGGAACTTCCAATCACGCGTGGTGCAGGGCGTGTCCGAAATTAGGTCTGAGCTCATTGAGTGTTTCAATGGCATTCAGAGCTCTCCGGTTCGGGACGAACGCTCTGTGAGGGAGGCGGCAGGTCTAAAGCGTCTGCTAGAACATGGTGAGTTTTCATTTTTTCTCGCTTTTTTCTCCACAATATTCTATCACGTGGATGTATTATACGGCGCATTGCAGTCAAGGCTAATGGATGGAGCGTCTGTGCAGTCGTGTATTTCAGACTTCTGCGATGCTGTATCTCGTATCCGGGAAACAATAAAATACGACGACACATGGAGTGCTTCTTTACGCCGCGGGCAAACAACGCAGCGTTTGATTTTGTCTGCAAAGCAATTCTGTGACATTCTGGTGAATCAAATAGGCGATCGTCTGCGCACTGAACACCTTGCCGCGTTCTCTTTGATGAACCCCAAAAATTTTTCAAAATTTGCACGTCAATTTCCCATCCATTTGTTGGCTACTGTCTCCAAATTTTACCCCATGATAAACGTGGGTCAATTGGAAAATGAATTGCGATGTATATACACCAATCAAACTTTTTTGAACATCACATCAATTTGCGCGCTCTATGGGTTCCTCATAGATAACACTCTAGTAACTACCTTTGCGGCGTCTGCAAAATTTCTAGACATCATTTTGACGACGCCTATTTCTTCCGCCGACGCAGAGCGAACATTCAGCACGCTGAAGCGTATTAAAACGTATCTCAGAAACACAATGAAGCAAGATAGATTAAATTTCTTGGCTGTTTTATCCATTCACGGAGACGTTATTTCTGGGATGCATGACTTTAATCAGCGCGTTATTGAGCATTTTGCTTCCAAGAAACCGCGGCGTGTTGCATATATGTTCAAGCAGTAGAAGTCTAGCAGCATATATATCTATGAGTGAGCGACGCATGTCCTTATCTTCGCATTACCTTGTCTTTCTTCATAGTAACGTTTCAAACCTTATTTTAGGTTTTGTCTGCTTTCCCGAAGTTTCTGTTAATATGTCATTGTATTTATCTGGGTAAATATTACCTTTCCTTTTGAAAGAGGTTTCAAAATAAACTATGTCTATATTTATTAATCCCTTGACTTGGACCGGTTTTAAAGACACTTTCTTATCGTTAAGAATTGACGCTTTTGCCGATTGGTTGTTACCGATGGAATGGTTTTTATACTCATAAAATGATGGGAGAACTTACAGCGCTCATCCTGTCCCCGCAGATGGGGGTGACTTGGTCCCGCAGTAGCTTGCCCCGGTTGTCAAAATGACCACGCGCCGCCACTGCATTATACATAAGAATAAATGAATTAAAGGTCAAGTAAGATAGAAACGTTCGTTTTATTAAATAAATATTTACACTAGACAACAAACCCACATGTATAAGATCAAACTCTTAACAAAGAGCAATTCACTTATTTCTATGTCCAATCGCTACTTTTCTGGTAACAAATGTCTGAACGACAGCCTCCTTCACCTCGCTCTTCAGGAATTTATTTTCGATGCTAATCAAAGACAAACTTGATAGGCGCTAATTTGACATCGAAAACCTCGAATATTTGTCATCTGTTTCGCATAAACCCTGGTATCAATGAGTGTAAATGTTTGCGGGTTCAATTGTACGTTGGTGCAAATGTACATAGGTACAAATATTCATGGGTTCAAATGTTCATGGATGCAGACGTGCAGTCTGTATGTGGGTGTTAAAATCTGCGGATGCAAATCTCCGTCGGTACAAAAGTATGCAAATGCAATTGTCCTGGGTGCAAATGTAAATGGTGCAAAGATGATGGAACCCAATGATTATACTGTGTTCTCATATACTTTAATTGCATTAATTATAACTTAGTACAAAAATAGCCGTGATAGACAAGCCTAAAATACTTTACCGGTACATGAATTTTTCTAGAGTCAATGGTCGGAAAAACATCCATCGTTGACTCTCCATCACCACAGTCAGTCACACAAAATATCCGCTTTTGATTTAATACACATCGGGGAAAACATGTATAACAATGCCTACTCTACAGCATGGTTTTGCTGCCCGGGGCGGCTTCCCCTTCCGCCCTCCTCTAGGCACGCCACTGTCTACATGCTGGACACTGCTTCCAGGGGCAAAGATTTTTCGGCATGGGATGATAAATTGATATCCAGACACAAGTCGTTATTTTTGCTTATGGGACACATCTACTACTAATTGTACCCCAGCGATAACAATTTATTCTTCTCGGTAAGTGTAGGGTACTTTGGATGCAGCAGCTTAATTCATAAGTACAGACAAAGATTAAACAAGCCTAGTAAAAATTGAATTTTTTTCCAAGAGATTTGCTCAAGGAAGTCTCTGAAAAGTAAAAGCTTTAATACCTAAGCGAGGGAACGGGCGACCGTTAAAATGACGAGAAACTGAAACTATATAGAACAAGAGAGCAATGCTCCAGAATATGGACACGAAAGCCAAAACAAAATATTTCAGAGCTAAAATATTGAAAAAACGTCTGGCTTCTTCGTCTATTTAAGGTCACAGTAACAGTGGAGAGTCTGTATAATAAACGCAGATAGGCGATTTTTGTCGATGGGAAATAGTTCACAGATTGGACGCCAATTGCGACTGATTCAATAATTTTTGTTTGTTGCAGTCGGTACATATTCATATTCTTTCAAAGCTGCTGCAGTGACTGCACCTTCCCACAAACGAAACACCAGAAGCTGGTAAAGAATTGTTTTATCGATATACCGATGAGTTTATTTACAAAAAATGATTAACTAGCAACATGAGTCATTAACATCAAAAGTTATATATAAGATACTTTTATTCGGCAGATATGAAGAGTGATAATGCTTATTATTTTTCAAGAATTTTTTTTGTTTGTTTCTTTTTGTGTATTAATTTGTTTATATTGTAAATATTTCCTGAACTAGCTTCAAATTTAACAAATACCTGACTAGTTTATTCGGTCACTTTTTTGATTTTTTTAAATCGGAAAATCTTTTTGACATGCAACTATAGCTGCAGCTTAAAAAGTCTTGATTTTGCAGCGTTTTGGCAAATGATGGATAAAAAAAGTTGATATATTGGACAATTCACACAAAGTAGAAAATGTTAAAAAATGCATATGCTTATGATTATATATACAAAAATTCAAGGTTTTTCTTATTATCGGCCACTATTCTAAGGGCGTGAGAGCAGGGCAAGCGGATATACAAATTGAAACTTATCTGTTGGATATCTGTAGCCTACAGCAATAGAAGTCTGTCTTCACAAGCAAGACGTCCACAATGCGGATTCCTGAATACTTTTAATCACCAGGAATTAAAATCATTTCTAACAAAAATTGTCAAATAAGAGGGACAGAAGATTTGTTACTAAAATGACATAGTGCATTTTTGACAAATTACCACAAAATCTACATCGATTTTTAATACTTGTAGCCTGGAGGTGGCGTAAACATATAAATCATTACACTCACTTTGATATGGCTGACAAAAAGGAACGCATATGAGTGCCTATTGCTGTAGATTACGTCTGCTGAAAATTCGTTATATTTTTTATTTGTAAAGTAAAATTTAGGAATATAGATATAGTCTTTAAACTTTGAACAGTCGATTATAAAACAAACTATTTATAATTATAAAGGGAAATTTAGAATCTTTTGCATCTGTGACTTCGGTGAGTCGTTCAACTTGTGATATTGAAACTAACGTATTTTCGTTTCCTTGTTTTTATTGGAAATTCCCATAAAGATCAAATGACTGAAGAAAATCGCTCACAGCCTGATAGCAAAATTCATATTGACCCTAAAAATAAAAATAATATTTTCTGTCACTTTGAATATCATATCGAATATTGAAATCAGATGGGTTTTTTTCTTTTGTGTAGTTTGTTAAAATTTCTTACCACAGTTCGGACCATCATCGGCCTTTGATCCCTCAGATCTTTCACTGTTCTGAATACATCAACACGATTTTCATTTTTCAGTCTTTCTATTAGATTTGAAATGGCACAAAAAGTCCCAGTTCTTCCAGATCCATCACTGAAAAAACGCGAAATTGTGATTAAAAACTGACCGATGACTAGGGCTGGGCATTTTCGAATACTTTGTGATTTCAGAATCGAATCGAATAATATTTTTCGAATCGAATCTCGAATACTTGAAAATATATAATTGTAAGCGATTTTATTATAGTAATTGGCCCTCTCAACAAATTAATTACTGAACACATAGAATAAATCACTCAGATAGATTACTGAGCGTTCACACAGAATGACAAACACGTTTTATCAATAACTCACTACAGAAAATAGTCATATGTTAGAATTTCGTTGAAAATATATGACTCCAATGAAAAAAAAATTGGGGAATTCACCTCGGCCATTAGCGGAAAGATAAAAACAAGATAGCGGCGATTCGAAATTTAGCTCTGAACCGATTCGAATAATTTACTATTCGATTCGATTATTCGATTCGAAATGCCCAATCCTACCGATGACGCGTCACCGACAAAACAATATTCAAAAACTAGGTAATTTGTCCAGTCGTATCATAAAAAATTGCCTTACTGAAATAAATTGTCGAGGTACCAGAATTACCTGCAATGTACGAGCGTTGTCTTGTTCTCAGAATTGGACAATGTTTGGTGATGCTTCTCGACGCTCGCAATTATCTCAAGAACGGTGCCAGAATTTGCTGGATTATTTTGTTCGGACCACTGGCCATAATGAATTTGTGACACTGTCGTCTAAAGAGAAAAGCTCATTTATTAGTTTAAAGTAGTAGCTATATTCAATGATTTCTAGGGGGAAGATATAATGCTTTACATGCAGGATCAAATACATGTATTCTCAAATGGGTTGAAAAGGAAACTCTTTGTCAAATTTGCAGTGACTTTATAATATGTACAATAATTATGCTTTATGCCAGTTGATCGCAAAGATATTAATCCATCATATACAACCTTCTTTTCTTTCAGTGATACTGCAAATTCTCTTTCTGTGCATCCCATTGAACTGGTCTCTTTTGTTGTTTTTACGGAAACATGCCCATATTTACGCTCTCGTGCTTTGTCGGGCCAAAAGCAGTAGTCTGCCTCTTCATTTTTCTGTAATGTTGCCATAATATTAGTACAAATTCACATAAAAAATTGATTGTTGGACCCGACGTGGACCTATGGATTGTTTTGTTAAATTGTTGTTGTTGGTATTTTCTTCATCTCGTTGTTATTGTTGTTCTCCTCTAATACTGGATCAATTGCTCTGAAACTTTCAGCGTTTGAAGAGTGTTGTTGTTGCTAGACAGCTATTACTTTTATGTAGTTCAAAAATTTATGTTTGCTTTATGGAATTCGTTTTTTCACTTTGAATTCTGCCTGAGGATGTCATCATACACTGTGTGTCTATTAGGCGATAGCATCTAAGCGATCTAAGCGAGATCGTTGAAGCTGAAGGTAGACTACCGGTAAGGCCTACTGTAAAAGATTCGATACTGCTGTGGTGACTCGAATCATTTGGTATTTCGGACAACGGTTAGACTTGGTGCATGAATCATCATTGTCACATAACTTGGGAAAGCCATAGGACAATCCGGTACTAATAAGTTACGATAGCTGTTCAAACTCAACTGTTGTTCTTTTAAATATTGCAAACTATTTTTTACTGGATGGAAAAAATAAACTCGACTATGATCATGTTCCACAGTACCAGCTACGTACAGGATATGATTTTGGGGGAAATTGCGGCCTTGTGTTTGAGCAATGCTCTTTTCTTATTTTAATAATAAATAAACTTGCCTCGCACAAGGATACAATCATGCTGACTTTGTTATCTAAGATCATTCGCCAGAATGCCTCAGTACCTTCCGAAGTTGGAGTTTGTGCTGCTATGAATATGTCCGTCGGATAATAGGACTGCAAATGAGAGTAATAAATATCAAGGGGGGAAGAGATGTCGTGAATTACATAATTGCTATTAGAAGTCTAATCAGACTAAAGTAACATTTTATGCATAATTGGAATACCAGCTGCGCGAAATTAGTTCAAAATCACTACTCTGTTGCATAAACAAATTCCCGCACTAAGAGGATCCTCGAAGCAGAGCGCGGTATGACTCGCAGAGACGTAGAACCCTAAATTCGGAGGTGGCCATGTTTATTATATATATATATACAAGATGACAATAGAGTATTTTATAATTTAGAACATATATGAATTAATGGTGTTCTAATTATTTTTTTCAAATTTTAAAGACTTGAAGAGACTGCGCTGCTCATGTTTTTTTTTTTTTGAAGTGGATTGCAGCGTCTTCTCACTACCCGTACTACAACCCAGTTCAATAGATAACAAATAAATTCAACATCGTTGAAGGGTCCAATGTTCATTTTATATTATCATATTTGCGAAGTTACCTGGTGATAATACTATTATAAATATACTGTAAAATTCGATGTTGTATCCAGGGGTGTGCCACCTTTATTATAGGAGTAACTTTGTGAAGCCGTGGGCCGCACCTTCATTTAGGATAGCCTTTAAGATGGTTGTAGACACAATTATTTTTTTTGTTATTGATCTTACGTCATTGTTAGGGGTCTTTGCGGTAATGGTGAGTTAAAACGCATAAATTTCTAATTAAACTAATATCAAATTTATTGTCACACCGACTGTAAACGAATGCGGTGACAAATGTGTTTTTATAACATTCTGTATTTTGCTAGCTAGTTTTGCTTATATGACAGTGGCACTCAGGTACTGGTATAGGCTTTGCGACGCAAAACGATTGAAATTGCTCACACGTACCAGGTTAACTAAATTAAAAACCCGTTTCGCTTGCACACCATTCAAAATTGGCACTTCTCCGTGGGCCGCAGTTTGCACACCCCTGTTGCGTACTTACTACAAAAACCAGACAATAATAATAATGAACTTACTGTGATGTTACTAGCATTGTAATACGGTACACATTTGTCAGTGGGATTCATTTGTATGAACACGCCATTGTGGTCATCTAAAAGTGAAAGAAGAAGGCATTTGTCATTAGATGGTTCCAAAGTATTATTACAGTTGTTTTTAAAATAACTGAATATCCAATACGAAAAAGCTGCACTTATATCACGAAGTAGTACACAACGCTAACGGAGAACATGACGAAGGTGGGCCCAAACTGTATGCCACTGTTGAGCGCAAATACGCTAATGCATATATATATATATATATGAAAAAACATGGCTTACATGGAATGACTGTCTGATCGCGATTGAAATGCTTATTTTCTGTTTTGTATCCAGCATCCTGATCTGTGTCGAGTGGTAGAAAATAATCCAGCATGTCAAATTCATGATCGATTTCACTTGATTGTCCGTTAATTCTAAAAAATATTTTTGATATTGTGTTTGGAATGGACATTGGCATACTTATATTCGCTGACCGATATGCTCACATATAAAAATGCTAAATTTAAGCCTGCATCCTGGTGTTATCGTGTCATATATATATATATATATATTGTGATTTTCAAAATGTATGAGGCGGCTCGTTACACACTGGTGCACTAAATAATTTCAACTTAACGAAAAAAAAAATGAAATTGTTTTCTAATAGATCAGGGGTCGGGAACCTTTATTGTCAAGAGAGCCATAAAACATATATATTTTCAATTTTATTTCTGTGCGAGCCATAAAACGAATTTGTACTCAAAAGTCAAAACATACAATGTCCCAATATACATTTAATGTGACTTCTGATGTTGCATGTTGTCACTGAGGGTCTTGAAGTCTGGTTGATAGTTGGTGAGGTTAAGTTTCATACAGGCGTTGAGCCTTTCATCTGTTAAACGAGATCGCTGGTTTGTCTTAATGTTTTTCAAGTGTGAGAACGACTGCTCACATGCATATGTGGATCCAAACATGGTCAATACAGCAATACACACTCTTTTCAGTGTGCGGTAAGTGGCAGGAAGCGCGTTCCAAGTTTTGACAATCAACTGGTCTGCGGGTTGAAGTTTTTTCATTTCTGTCCATTTATGGTTGATCGCGAGCTCCGCTTGTTGTCGTTCAAGTGTTTCCAAATTTTCATTTAGTGATTTGAACTTGTTGACCCATACGTCTGAAACCGTTAGGTCAGCAATTTCTAACTCAAAATTTTTGATGCAGACACCAGGAATGTAACTCAAGTCGACGTCGTTTACAGCACACTCATATGGATGAGTGATGAACTTAAAAAGACTAATGCGCTCACGAAATTCTGCAAATCGCGCTTTGAATGACTGCAGGAGATTACATGTGAAGCCAACTAGCTGCTGGAGATCGAAATCATGAGTGGGATTATTTGCAGTGATTACATCTTTGAAGTTTTTCAGCCTTTCGAAATGTAACAGACGACCCGTTCCAAGATCCTCAATAAATAACTCCAGCCTTTTTTCAAATGCAAACAAAGTTTGCTGAAGGGATAGGATTGTATTTCCAATTCCTTGCATTTTCACATTGAGCTGATTAAGATGTTCAGTCATGTCCACGAGATAATAAAACTTCCGGAGCCAGTCAGGATTGGTTAACTCAGGATGCGTAACGTTTTTCATCTCAAGAAAAGTCCGGATTTCATTTAAGCATTCTGCAAAACGGTTGAGCACCTTCCCTCTTGACAACCAACGCACATTGCTGTGCAAAAGCAAACCGGGATAATTGTTTCCAACTTCAGCCATCAGTGATTTAAACTGGCGATCATTTAAAGCTCGGGCAACAATAAAATTAACCACCGAAGTGACCACATCCATTACGTCGCTAAACTGCTTGCCACACAATTGAGCACAAAGCGCTTACTGATGTAGAATGCAGTGGAAACTTAGGATGGGTCTTTTTTCATGTTCACGAAGAAGCGCTACAAACCCTTTGTTTTTCCCCATCATACAAGGAGCTCCGTCAGTGCACACTGAAACAAGATTATCTATCGGCAGCTTTTTTTCCGTTGCAAACTCCATGAAAGACCGAAATAAATCTTCTCCTCGTGTTGTTCCCTTCAGTGGCAAAACAGCAAGACTTTCTTCACGCAGTGTGTCACCCACAACATACCTTGCAATTACACTGAACTGTGATAAATGGCTTACGTCCGTAGACTCATCAAAAGCAAGAAAAAATAATTCCGCTGTATTTATATCCTTTAATTGTATTTCCTCCACTTCATTTGCCATCATGATAGCGCGATCGTGAACAGTACGTGCTGACAGAGGCACGTCTTTAATTCTTTTTATTATTGTATCTTTATTTGACAAGTCCTCAAAAAGTTCATTGGCCACATCAAGCATAAATATTTTGGCATACTCGCCATCTGTAAACGGCTTTCCGTTCTTCACTATTGCTAAAGAGGCAGCAAAGCTAGCCGAAGTACAGTTACCTTTCTGAGACCATGCTCGAAGTTGCTGCTGACTCGCTTTCACTTGGCGTAGTAGTTCTAAGCATGCCCTCTTCCTGATGTCTACTTCTGGATATTTAGATGCGAAGGATGTGTGGCATGTGTGAAAATGTCTCTTTACATTCGACCGTTTCATCGACGCGATTTGAGCATTGCATATTAGACAAACTAAATGATCTTTTCTCTCCACAAAGGCAAATTTCTCTGTCCATTCAAGCTGAAATCCCCGATACTCATCATCTTTCTTTCTGTTGGCCATATCTGTAGTGCTTTAAAAATTAGTTTTGCTAATCCAGTCTCAATATTAAAGTTACAAATGAGGAGTGTACAATAGGACGGAAGGCTTCGTTGCTCCGCGATTCTATCACTTCGTGATGTCTCAAAGTTCCAGAATCCTCTGTTTTGTCACAATGCTTGTCTGTCAATTCTCTCACAAAACATAGACATGCGCTAAGCGCGTTGGCGAATTTTCTGCCATACCTGGCCATAAAATAGTCTGAAATCTGGTAACAATACTAAGATTAACCCTAGAATATATGATTTTCACTGGGAGCCATATGCGGTCACCAAAAGAGCCATATATGGCTCGCGAGCCATAGGTTCCCGACCCCTGTAATAGATGGTTACATTTATATCACTCTATTATTTGATCGTCAGGAACCTCATTGTCTTACCACAATTTCCAAAAAAGTGTGTGTCAATTTTTTTTTTTCAAATTATAAAAATTGTGCAATTTTGCAGGTTTGTCCGCGTATGAATCAATGGATGTCATAAGTTGACATTCTCCATTATTCTCTTGTAGCTCGTCAATACAAAACTACCACGAATCGAAAATTCACAACATGACAAATTCTATATAACAGGGGAATGCACAACAGGAAAATATTTAGATATGTGTTAGTGAAAACAAATGAAATCAAACCTCTGCATATTTTTGTACGTTGCATTGAATGCAGACACATCGACGTCCGTTTCACCAAACTGATATAACTCGAGTAATAGTTTGTGGATAAGAATGTATTGATCCTATAAAAATATCACAATGGTATGCGATAGCATGAATTGTTAGCGCAATATACGGAGCGTATCACCCACACTATGTGGCTATTTTATTACAGCATGATTATTTATTGACTATTATTACTAACAATTATTCATTCGACTACTAACCAACGCAACATTTTATCTATAAGAAGTGGAGATTCGCGTTAGCACCTTTATAATAATTTGGTAAATAGGAACCCACAGAAAATGAAAGTACTGCTGCAAACGATCTGTAAATACCGCGGCCATATGTCTCATAATTATCTGCCGAGACAGCGCAATGAAATTCGTTGATAACCAAGGAAATGAGTAAGCGTAATGACACCTTCTCTGACTCAGTCGAAATGAATGAGAATAGAAATTTCAGCAAAGTGACAAAAACTTCCAGTTGCATTTCATGGGAAGATTTTATTCTTAGAAATAATGATTTATTCATTGTTACGTTAGGTCATAACTTTCCAGCATGATAAATGCTTAGTAGCCTAATAGAATATATTTCACAGTAAGCATTTTCATCTATCAGTTGCAAAGCAACATTTGAAAAAAATTATTTTTGACACAGCAGTTTTGAGAAATTTTCCATCGTATTCATCGAGCTGTATTTCATTTTGGAGAAAATTTCCTCACCAATGTTTGAACCATTTCCGGCCTTCTTGTGCGCATTCTGCCCACTATTTCACATATGTTGAACTCTTCCGATTCAGCAATCTGTTCTGAGACTATATCCAGAGCTATAAACGTTCCAGTCCTGCCAACTCCGGCACTGTAAAACATAATTTATAGAAATGAAGCTGAAGCATATCATTTCATATGTTGGTAATGGTAAAGTATGAAGCTTCTACCTGCAATGCACAACAATCGGTCCCGCTGTTTCGGTTTGAGAGTAAACAACAGCTTTGTGGAATCTTAACAAACTTGAAGTTGTAGCAGGAACACCATGATCAGGCCACGCAATGAATTGAAACTGCAGTACTTCCCTTGTCTAATAAATATTTTAAAAACGACATCAAGCACGGAATTACAGCTCAACTTAACGCCCATATTTATCAGAATTTCAAGCTTTTACCTCATTGTCTTTGGATATTTCAAACCGACGACGAACGTAGTCTCCACACTTCGAAGATTCGATTAAATTGACGGCAATATTGCCATACACGATACTCTGATCGTCATCTTCGGACCAATACTCCGCGCATTTTACCTTAAAATGTAGTTATAACATGATAGCTATCTGCATGTAACGTACTAGGATTGTATTGCTATATTTGCTTTACGACATGATTAAAGCGAGGTATAAGAAATTCTATATCGTACTGGTCAGGAATTGAGCAGCGCCATTTTTGTGAACATATTCATTTAAATTTGTTACATTGAAAAGCAAATTTTTATCAAAATATACAATTATCTGACCAGTGAAGATATCATTATGAACTTATGAAGTATATATATAGCAGTTGTAATTAGTCAATGAAAATGACATTTATATTCGAACATTGCGTTGCTTCTTAAACAATTCTTTCAATTTATATCACCTTTTTATTTTCAGTTAATCTAGTCAAAACAGCAATAATATAGCAATCTTTTTCCCATATCATTCTCCAGAAGTCTGCTATGGTATTAGGCTTTGGTCCTTGAGTAGCAATAAATTTGTTTGGAAAGTTGTATCCCTGAAAATATTAAATTGGCATGAACTGATTGTTGTCAATGGGTATGGCCATTACAAAACCGTCGTTTTAAAAAAATGTTTGCTTCTTTTGAGATAAATTTTCACTGCAAAATAAAAAAAAAATTTGATTACAATACTCACGTCTATAAAGGCAGCATTAACGTAATCTGAAAACTCATCGCCAGATATTTTATGTAGTAGAACTCTTGTGTTGTCATCTGTATATAGTGAAAATAAAAATGCTTTGGGATTAAATCTGATGTTATATGAAAATCTATCTTTAATCTGTATTTAAGTAATAATAACAAAAGCCTTCTACACTACTTATATTCTCCTTCCAGTTTTATTTCGTTTCGAGATACGTTAACCAAACTTGAGTTTGTAAAATCCAGAAATTTACACTAGATTAATCGTTATATCTTGAGCATATATCATCGAAGATAATAAAAAAACAAATATTTAGGACTACACCGTAATAGTTCATAGCACGATTTGATTGAAACCAAAAAAAGTAAAGAGTATATCGAACGGTTAACACCCAGTTGAAACTTTGCTAAGAGATGTGTACTCACATGGAACGATGTTTTTATATCTATTCTTTGGAAGGTTTGCTGGTAACCTGGAAATATCTGCCGTTAGTTTACATGCCTTTACGGCAGCCGGAACGTCTTCCTTAAATGAGATAAAAAAAAGATTTTATGCATTGCGTATTAGATGATTTCATTGCTTGCTTATACCAACGCCTATACAATGGTTAGATATATATATGTATATACCTTGAATTCCTCTAGAAATAATAGATCTTCATCAGCTCTTTTGTTATTCATTAACTGAAACAGATTTGTCAACTGAAATAAATGTTTTCGAAGAAGTCGATTGATAATTTCATATGGATTCCTTCGCTCAATATTCGCTTCAACATCGATGTGCTCGTCTGCTGTAAGTGAGTAGTTTTCTGTTAAATTTTATATTCCTTAGCACTAGCTGAGCCATACACACAAAACGCATATAGTTTTTAAATAAAAAGGGCGAACTATGTCAAAAGTTTTCGATCAAATTCATAGATATAACTGAAGTAAAATATTATGCATCTCGAGCAAATAGAACATGATTTACCAGTGAAGTATGTACGTAACATGGGTTTGTATTCATATTATATCCATATATAAAGGACATATTATGAAACTAGCCTTGTTTAGGTGTTTTGAAAACACAAATACTACCAGATGCGACCTATCCTGAAGATGCACTATGCCATTGGTTTAAGTCGTTTAAAATATTCGAAGTAAAATTAATTAAATATCTATACCTCGATTCGCACGAATATTTCTTCTCATTACAATCTCATCATGCGAATCAGTTTTCTTTGACTGTTTTCTAACATAAAAAAGCGCGGTTACTTCATGTTCTTTGCATTGTTTTATTATTTTGTATCTAGCACGAAAATCGGTATTCCCGCGGTATGTGTACCAAGATGTGGCACAACCTGAACATAGTATGTGTTAGGGTTATCAGGTTGTGCGCCACCTTGGTACATAATACGGGAGCGCCCAAAAATCAATACACTAGAGGAATATTTTGAATATTGTTCTTATAATTGTGGGTTCAAACAATACATTACTGAGGAAAATTATCAAACTAAAAGATTGTGAAATGCAATGAAATATGAAGTATCCGATGAAATAGCTCACAATATGCCGCAATACTTTTTAATACCATTCAACACGGTTTTCTGAGCTCACCTTTTATAAAATACAACACCAATCAGGAGTGCCACTATTATTAGCAATATCACCAACGGTAGAATAATTTTCAGCGGCAAATCTGATCCTTGTCCACCAGTTTCTGTGAAATAAAAAAAATATTAGACACGGTTGTCGTGGATCGTGTTTAAACAGCTAACTAAAATGCAAAATCGCGTATTAACATTTTAACTTTTTTTATTGTCAACAAAGCTTACCCTTTGTTACAGACCACGGCTCGGAAAAATCACTTGCCACAATGATAGGATCACCGCCATCTTCATCCGGCACCGAAACTAGAATATAATGTTGGTATTCGCTCGCACTGTCCAACTCTCGATTATTTCCTTCTACAACATTGTTTTTACTAGTTGATCTCTTTTTTCTACTACTGTCGTCTTTACTCTCGCAAGTTTTATTCAATCCACTCATATCACAGCAAGTTGTTCCGCCATTTCCGAGAACAATTCTTTTAGTTTCATCAAACCTGTGAAAATGAATCAGTTTTAATAAAGATAAATTAGTAACAAAGGATGACATGCATAAATTGTTACGTTGCTTGCGTTGTTCTTGCATACCTGTTTAAGGCAAACGCTACAAAACTATCTCCATCTTCCACAGTATCATTGAACTGTTTCATCATGTCAACATCTTTTATAATTTTTGTTTCATTTCCGTCTTTTGTACGTTTGTAAACAACAACAATATAACAACTAAAAATAGTAAGTATTCATGTTCGATCATGCTAAAATAAGGCATCAGAAACAGAAAAAAAAAAAAAAAAATTATGTAGCATCACAGTAATCTATTCGAAGCGCGTCAGTCGGTTTTCAATCTAAGAACTCTTATGTATAAACGTTTGATTGAAGGCTGGACATTGCTATCTATGTTTGAAAACTCTCTTCCAACACAACTATGAAAATTTGGTTAAATTTCGTCGGATAAATAATATGTATCCTTCATAGTAGAAAAATACATTTTAAAAAAATTGGGAAAAGTCATTCTGTGAAAGTTTTTTCATTTGATCAAATTATTCGGCTGCTGCCATTTATGGCAAACAATTTCAACAAATTATCATAGTCATACCCTACCTGACCGATCCATTTCTTTCATCAACTGGACTTAATTTTATTGTCCTTGTATTGTGTTCTGCATTCCCACTGTCATCTATCGCTGGTGTGATGACTACAGACGGAGCTGTGGAAGATAACAATTGAGTTATTTATAGTTAGTGTAAAGAACACGTTTTTTGCATTGCTTACTTAAATTTATGCCAAACATGTTGAATTTTTACGCAACGCCGAACTGGAATGGGTACGCGTCACATCAAAATTAAATTTCAGTAATGATAGAATGCGAAACAGTACATAATTAACTATTATAAAAGAAAACATTTTTAAATTTTTGTAACCGATGAAATATTGACCAAATATAGAGATAAAATAAATGTAAACATACTGCCGCCACACGCGCTTTGCACATTAACGAGATATTTAAATTTCCTTGCCTGTTCGTTTCGTAGGGCAACCAGTAGCAGCCTCACTCCATGCTATCGGTACTTTTCCATGACAAACAGCTGGAGGAATGGTCCCAACTTGTACTTTATATTGTGAGTTTGGATTCGTTGAAAACTCATATTCAAAAGTCATATTTAATTGCTTTTCCGGAGAAGCGGAATCATCGTTTGTCCTGGAAGATAATGAGTTTTTCGCTCCTTCGTCAATTTTTATCTGAAATATTGAGCATATTCATATCATTCCGTTAAATTATGATCAATAGAATAAGTATCGATCAAGACACTCACAGCATAACCACCAATATTTTTCTTGTATTGTTGATTCCATTTAATCTTGCAACCTTTTACAGAATTTGAGAGTGTGATACCGTATGGTGGACCAGATGGTCCCTGGCTGGTTCTTTCAACATACGTTCGAAAATATTTTTCATTATTTGAGCATCCTTTAATCTCTGGTATTACCTAAAATCATTAAGTCATATTTAAATATTTTCATCTTTGCAAAAACATTTAATTTTGGCATACCTTTATCTCGTACACTGTGTTCTTATGCAGTTTCATTACTTCATAGGGCCCTTGTTCCTCAGAAGATCTATGATTAAAACAGATAGGTTCAAGTTTATAAGAATTAAAATTTATAATGAAGACAACTCAAATAGCATCAATCAAAAGAACTATTTCACCTGTTTTTCCCGTTTACCATTATTGTATATTTTAGTGATTCGGAGTTTTCGAGTTTGTTCCAATCTACTGTCAACTTATTTCCGTCACAGATATCTTTAGAAACGTTCACCGCATTTTGCTTCGTTTTACCTTTGATAAAGAATTAGTTAACACAGATGGCATTTTCGAGTCATAATCAATACAAAAGCAATTACCAATAACGGTTATTTTTGTGCAATTCAGAACATTTGTAAACGTAGAACCATTATACAGTATTCCTTTCCCACTTATGTACGTGTCTTGCGTTATATCTTTTAGAGTGTATAGATCTCTATGGAAAAACAGATAAACAAATAAGCCGAAGGAATTTTCAGCAAAAAAAAACTGACAATGCACATGGAGTAGTTAAAATACTTTAAAGTTGACCCATCTGTAGATTCTTCTCCATTTACGAAAAATGTTTTGTTTAGTTTCCCATTTATGAATAGTTGAAAATCAGATTTTCCCGCAATATTTGTTTCCACTTCAAAGATTATTGTAATTGATCCGCCTTCCGTCGTTTGATATTCGTCTTTAGAAAATTTAACAGTTAACGGACCTGTGAAATATAATTAGTTTTGTTGTCATATATAATCTGAGCAGGGATTTTAAGTAAGACTAATGGTTAATTTGTTGTTTCTCACCCTCCCGGCAATGGCGTCCGAAAAACATTGGTGGGCAATTGCATTTGTAGCTACAGCCGTACACGACACATTCCCCATTCACACAAGGATGTGAAGAACAAGGACTTTTATTACTTCCTGAGAATATGAAAATTAATCAATTTATCATTGCGTTTGCCTAGATACAGATTATCGTTTTGACGGTGTTCATCAAATTTCAGAATTATTTGGTATTGCAGCGGAAATGACAAACATTTTGATTTCGTGAACTATATTCAGAGCCCAAACTCAAATATTGAATATAAATATATAGCAATAAAATTACGGTACGCCTTTTTGTGCGCCGGCAATGGACCCTGCCAAACTAAAAATATATTGCAAACTATAAAAATCGATAGATTAATTCCAACGATTTATGTGCATAATTCATGAAAATATGAACACAAATTTATATTTATTCAATTATGAATTAGTGAAGGTTCACAGAAAAATAATTTTATAAAAATGCTATAAACTATACAAATTGTTTTTGTTAATATGAAAGAATAATAACATCTTGAGCGTATTTTATCTGACATACCGGTACCATCCCACATTTCGCATATATATTTCTGATTACAATTGGAATATTCCGTTCTTTGATAAGACTTCAATACCGCACACTTCCTGGAGGTTGTACTCGTGCTGCCTGAAATTTAATATTTATGAAATTAAATTATTGCAATATTCGAAAATATGCAATAGAACTCTAAGACAACGATGTGCTCTGGACTCACTGTATGAATCACCATCGCCCCAAGTCCATTTTCCTTTATTTCTCCATGCGTCAATCAAAAATGTTTTGGTAGATCTCATTCCACGGAAGAGAAATTGGATCTGATCTTCTGTCTTAGGCATGGCTAACTCGTATGCTGGGCCAGCTCGATCTTTGCACGCAGCTGCAGCATTTTGTCTGCCATTGACTGAACTATCTGATATCCAGTATTTACAGTTTTCATTCTTTAGTATTTTTACTAAAATTTAACAAAATGATTGGGTATATATATATTGATTTATAGGCATTTTAGTGTTACATACTATACTCAATGGGGGAAAAAATAACTTTGTATAATCAGAGTGCGGGAATATATTATGCCGTTGTGTGAACACTTGCTTGTGAAGACAACCAGAATTATGCTTGCGTATTAGCTTAATACTTCTCAACACCAGCTAAATTCGGGTAAAATGGGCTTATAGCGAATATCGAGCAAATATGAAAAATGTAAAAAGTAGCTATTTGAAGACGAAAGCGATATTTTGTTACAACGACAGCATTCACAACCACATCCATGTTGACAACGATTTAAAAAAATTAATCATATATCTATTTTATATATATTTGAATATTTATAAAAATATGAAAAATGACTTGCGTTGACAACTTTCTACCGTTGATATATCAGTACTCCAGCTTGCACTTTCTCCCTCTTGTCGGCATTCAATAGCTTTAGAAGGTACTCCATTTTGAAATTCATATCCATCACTGCATTCAAGATAGCAATTCGTTCCAGAATTTTCTGGGCATGTCGTCCGATATGGTTTCTTCAAATATTTATTCCTCGGTTCTGGTATTACGAACGGCTTACAAGTAATACCTAGAAAAGGGAAATATTTGAATTCGGTTATATAAGGTTTTGACATATACATCATACATTTTATTATTAATATAAAAAAAAATTAATTCTTATATTTAATAGATATAAATCAACACAAATCCAACAAAATTTTAGTGTATCATTATCCCTTTTGCAACGTGTTTTCTATGCAGTTAAAATTCAAAAATATCACTTACTTATTTTGGAATAGATTGATCAGTATCTACAAATTGAAATTTGATCGATATCGATGCGACAAGGAATCTCGATGCGACAAGGAATTTATAATAATTGTATTTATCTTATAAATATTTCAAAAATTCGTGTTTAATTTTAAATAAGGCAGCCTATTCAATTGAAAAAACATAGTAAGGGAATTAGCCTAATTAGAGTGTTAATATATTCAAATATATTCAAAATTAGAATATTAATATACAAATATTCGACGATGTGGCATAGTTAGTGCTCAAACGCAACCTAATAAAATCTTATGTCTTTGACCTTACTCTAGAAATACATATGGAAATATTACAAGCTACTGTTGATTGAAATTCCGGATTCGTTTATGTCTAAGACGGCTATGGATAAAACGTCGCCAAGATCATGTATAGTGTTGATTACATGTTTTGTCATTTCCATGATATGAGCTGTTTCAAAACTAATATATATTACTAAGTTAGTTCCTAGAAACTGCTTTTAATGTGTATACCAATGTACATTTCGAATTCACTGGTTTGTTTGCACAAAGTTCAACAAGGCGGGATCCGACGTTAAATTGTAAACTAGGACACATAATTCCTGTAAGTAATGATTGAAACACTCATAACAATATAGCAACTTCTATCATATTTTTAAGAAAGTGATGGTATATTTAAAAAAAATTCATATGAAAAAATGACAAGATAGAAAGACTTGCGTTGACAACTTCCAACTGTTCTGACAAACATTATTTAGTTTATTTATGATATCATAAGAAAATTAATTCTTATATTTTAATAAATGTGAATCAACACAAATCAAACAAAATTTCACTGTGTCAATATCACTTTTGCAACGTGCTTACTATGCACATTAAATTTTAAAATATCACTAAATAATTTGTGGGAGGTTGCTTAGTGTCTACAAATTTAAAATTGGTCATTTAGTTAGATATATATATATATGTTAAATACTTACGGACACATCTTGCATTGCTTAGTTAGCAAATTATTCAATTAGAAAATGATTTTTTAACGTGATAAGTGAATTAGAGTATCATTATATTCAGATATATTCAAAATTAGAGTATTAATATATAAATATTTGGTAATAGGCATAATTAGTACTCAAATGCAACCTAATAAAATGGTCGCTAACTACTGGGTATTCAAGTCTTTGACCTTACTCTAGAAATACATATAAAAATATTACAAGCTACCGTTGACTGAAATTCAGGATTCGTTTATGTCAAAAACGTCGCTAAGATAATGTAGTTTTGATTACAAGTTTGGACATTTCCATGTTACAAGATGTTTCAAAACAAATAGCTATTATATACGTTAGTTCTTGGAAAATGTAATTTACTTTTAATGTTTATATGTATAGTACATACAGGGTGTCTCATAAGTAAGTATACGCTTTTAATTTTGATTTGCTCTTCAGGTGCTCATCATAGAGCGTTCATTTCTTCGGAAAACACAGTATGAATGAGTAGTAAAATTTAGGTATTGTTTGCATTTTATTATCAACCCACAGAATGACATGTTTTCCTCAGAGTGTCTGCTCCTTGGTCTTCCTGATTATTGTGCATCAACTACAGATCGATTTTCATAAATTTAGGATGAATTGCATATTGCTATTTGGCAAAAAGCCTATAAATAGGTAAGGCAAACTCAGCGCCTCTTTAACAGAGAATTTGGAATTAATTCGGCTCGGAATTTTTTCCTTAGAGCGGCCGCTCATTGGTCTTCCTGATCTTTGTGCATCAACTACAGATTCCGATTTCATACATTTACGATGAATTGCATAAATTGTTCGTCGTGTGGGATCCAAGTTAATTCCAAATTCTCTGTTAAAGAGGCGCCGAGTTTGCCTTACTGATTTATATGCTTCCTGCCAAACAGCAATTTTTCACCTCATTCCTTGTTTAATTTTCTTGTCATTCTGTGGGTTGATAAAAAATGCAAACAATATCTAAATTTTATTACTTATCCATACTATGTTTTCTGAAGAAATGAACGCTCTATGATGAGTACCTGAAAAGCAAAATTAAAAGTGTATATATACTTACTTTTGAGACACCCTATATATACTTCAAATATGGATATTTTGATTCGAGCTTTGTCGCCTAACCGTATCTATCACTTCAATTTGGAAGACTTACGGACGCATTCTGTATTCCCGATTGATGACCACATAGCGGAATTCTGGGATTTTTTTCGGCTGCATGTCGCTGTTTTTGTTCTTCCTTCAAGTCTATATCCGTCTTCGCATCTTAATGTACATTCCGAACCCACTGGTTTGTTGGCACAAAGTTCAACAGAGTGGGATCCGACGTTAAATGGCAAAGTAGGACATTTAATTACTGTAAGTGATGATAAAACACTAATAATAATATAATATGGGAACTTCTATCATATTTTTATGAACGAAATGGCATATTTAAGCAAAAAATAGATATAAAACAAAGCATGATAAAATAAAAAACATTTCTATCTTTTTCCATCATCTTATTCGGTTCTATTTTCGTCAATCGTGTTCTGTAGTTAATTTGATAAGCTAGAAATACAAAACCATCCTTCAAAATAAAATCCTGGCTTTTCCGTCGATTCTATAACTGCATTCCTTAATTAATACTAAACTAATATTTCATCATCAACAGGGTGTCAATGAAGAACCTTACCTCGACATCTGACCTTCTGTAATGTCGGAGTCCAGAAAGCGGTTAATCCATCCCTGCTTGCAGTGCATTTGTACTCTGATGCTGGATATGACGAATATATTACGTTCTCAACATAAGAATTTTCGTCACATAATGCTGTACATTCAATTCCAATACTTCTTGCATTTGTAGCGCATGAATAACCTTTAACTCCGCCTATAGTTCTCGAGGGCGTTGGAAATTCACCACATTTCAATTCTGTAGATGAGTAGTTCGAATTTTAACTTGATTTGCACAAATGATGCAATTAGCGCATGCATATATTATAAATACAAATAAATTATACAAGCTGCTGTTGTTTGAAATTCCGGATTCGTTTATATCTAAGACAACTATGAATAAAATTTCGCCAAGATCCTATAATGTTGAATACATGTTTGGTCATTTCCATGATACGAGCTTTTTAAAACTAATATTTATTATTCAGGCTATGTCAGTTCTTGGAATAGTAATTTGCTTTTAATGTCCCTCCTTTAAGTTCATATCCTTCTTCGTATCTCAATGTACATTCCGAACCCACTGGTTTGTTGGCACAAAGTCCAACAAGGCCGGACCCGTCGTTAAATAATAAACTAGGACATTTAATTTCTGTGAGTAATGAAAAACACTGATAATATAATATTGGTTAGGCTATCATATTTTTTAAAAGCGAAATGGCTACAAAAGAATTTCTTATCAATCAAAGCATAATAAAATAAATAAATATAAGTTTTTATCTTTTTTCATCATCTTATTCGGTTCTATTTTCGTTAATCAAGTTTTGTAGTTAATTTGGAAAACTGAAAATACAAAACCATCCTTCAAAATAAGTTCCTGACTTTTCCACTTCCATTCCTGACTCTATAACTGCATTCCTTAATACTAAACTAATAATTCAACACCAATAGAATACCAATGAGAAACCTTACCTAGACATCTGACCTTCTGTTGTGTCGGATTCCAGAAAGCACCTAATCCATCCTCTCTTGCAGTACATTCGTAGTCCTCTGGTGGATAATTCGAGTTACTTAACTTCTCAACATAAAAATTTTCTTCACATAATGCTGTACATTTAGTTCCAATACTTCTTTCATTTGTAGCGCATGAATAACCTTTAACTCCGCCTATAGATCTCGGGGGCGTTGAAAATGCATCACATTTCAATTCTGTAGATGAGTAGTTCGACTTTTAACTTGATTTGCACAAATAATGCAATTAGCGCATGCAGATATTATAAATACAAATATATACTACCTTCGCACATTTTGTATCCAGTTCATTCTGCATTCAAACCGCTGGTTTTCAATCGATAAAATATTTGATAAGATTTACTCGTAGGGTCCACAATAAAATTAGCAAAATATGTTTTATCATTGCGAGTAATATGACGCGTGTATCAAGTTTCAGTGAGATGGTCAATTAATAGGCGCGCGGTTTACCATTCATATTGATCAACTTCTACTCTCTTGAAAACATACGTACATCGTCATAATGCATTAGTTCTATTTAGCGTATTACATGTTATAATAATATTGGCTATACCTTTGCAGTCCTCAATTAGTCCTAATTTCCATTCTCCTTCAGGATTGCATTGCAGATTTTGATTTTTTTTACTTCCAATGATGAATCCATCTTTACATTGTAAGATGCAGCTTCCCCACGGAGCAGTTACTCCGCAATCAGGTGTCTTGATATTTGAAAACTCAGAAAGATTTGGATTCCGTGGACAGTTTTGCGGTTTCGCTGTTGTGGTAGTGGTCGGCAGTTGTTTTGCTGTCGTGGTCTCTAAATGTTTGATAACATGAGTTACATGCGGTTTCACCGCACATTATAATTTCTCATTTCAATTTCATATTTTTAGCCTAAACAAAACTGTATATAGGTAGTAACTAGCAATTACATCTTATGAACGCGCCTTTAAGCTGTCTAACTTTCCAAACGTTTTGAATTAACTGGTTTCGACAACGATTTGATTGATTTTATATTGGTTAAGATGTTATATATAGACAGACAAGGGGGATTTATGCGATAGTACAATCTTGCAGGTAATTTTTTTCGAAAATCACCAAACAAATAAATTAAATTTATTGGATGTATGGTGAAATGAAAACAAAATGATACCTAATAAAAAAGAAAAAAGAGACTTACTTTTTTTGCACTGACTCAGTTTTCCAAATGGCCATATCCACTTTTTTTTGTTTATATAAGTACAAGTTAAATTTTGAATCAGTTCGACGTAACCAGGTTTACAACTTAAAGTGCATACGGAATTTTTTGTTCCATTTGGACAAGTCGTTTCTTGAATATATTCTCTCCGTGGCTTTGGCACTTTGGCTTCTTTACATCTTAGGTTTGAACCTTCAAAATTCACATAATGATAGAATGTATTGATTGCTTATTTCATTCAATGTGTACTGACGACAATATACTAAAAGCATTTCTACTACGAGTTAGTTGTTGATTTTTTCTATGCTTCGTACTATTAGCGGAAAGCATTTCCAGAGAATCATTACATGGTCCAAACTGCTTAATTGATTTGAACAATTTAAAAAATGACGTAATGGATACATGAGTTTTGTACCGACTGTTAGACGTTCCGTGCTTATTCTGTACTTAATTATTCTGCACACATCCAAGTACATAAGATGGTATAATGACAAATATTCCGTATTGCAAATCATTCATATTTCAGTTCCGCAGCTGGGTAATTATTAAGCTACTGATTTGATGTCTCCTGTATTCATTGACCTGACATATATCTGCCGAATACACGTGCTACCTAGTACTTTATGTCTGAAAATAATGAAAACTATGCGATTACAGTACTACAATCGGCAGAGTTGCCTTAGTCGAGGTAAAATATTTACTTGGGGCGATTGAATGTTGGTCAACTAACGACGAAATAATATGTGGGAAGCTATTGATAACGCAGTTGTATAAACTACTAGTCGAACGCTTGCAATCCACTACATTGGTAGCAATTCTAAAAATACCTAATAAAATGTGTTAAGCATTTGTTTTACTTGATAAAAACACAATTTTTTATGAACAAAGCCCCCGCCATTGATGCAAAAATATGAGATTTCAGAAAACACTCCCACCGCGTTCCATTAGTATTTATCCAGGTCGGGTTCGGAAGGATTTTTTTTTATAAATTTGAATTTCCGCGCGATCTGCATTCCTAGCGCTCAACCTGACTAATCAATACTAATTTTTATTGTCATTTCATATTGATTGAATTCTTCTAGAATGGCCATTCTATATTGATATTGCCAAATAATGCAGATAGTTGATATACTCGACGGCGCATCTATTATGGATCGTGTACATAACATAATATTTGGTCAATCTGTACATCGAATTCATTAAATAATTTACAAACCTGCTGTAACACCTTGCGCCGTGACACGCGTTTGTGCAGAAACTTCAGAGAAAAATTGAAAAACAAGAATCGCGACAAGTCCACTTCCAATTTGGTTCTTCATCTGGAAGGTGACGAAATCAGTATCGGTGGTTTTGATACCTAATAGATGTATTTATATTATCTGAACAATGTTTTCTTATTAAAACTGATAAACAAACGACAAAATATGATTAATCATTTTGTAATATATATCTCAGTTAATTCAACAATTACGTAATGACAAATTCTCTTTTTTTTTATTCTCCTAAATTTAGAAGATATTTTAAAAACAAATCTATTTGAAAACTGTTGCTGTATTGTTTTCCCCTAGATTATTTTCATTAATTCGATTTCTTAAACTTCTAGCTGAGAGATATTCTACAAAGTAGTGTTTCAAATAATCAAGAAAAAAGTCGGTCTCTTATTTAAACTTAAAGGAATTGGAATATTTCATTTCCGAATATTCAACTTGCGCATGTACTGCGCTTCCTAGTTGCGGTCTGTTTATAGAACTTAAAGTCGCATGGAGAGTTCCAACTCCTTGTATTCTCCGTTCAATTCTAACATCTGCTATGTTGCATTTACCACAGGAATATTAGGATATTATATTTTAAATATCAGTCACAACTTGTCTATTGGATCAAAGCATGATGCTAATCGAATGCAACAAATAACTCATCTCTTCACTAAACTGAGCAGCGTCTATTTCAATGAGTAATGTCTCAGTTTCACAAAAGCAGCAACACCAGTCATCCTTTGCTGCGAGTCAATATGTTTCGTTACATGTAGGCCGTACTCAACTCTTAACAATAGCTTCGAAATGATGGCTGTTCAATATTAAATGGAGTATTTGAATCAACCGAGAACACGTCATGCATTGAAGAAAAGTTTCTTCTTTCCAGCATCACCCATGTTATGACGAATTCCCGAGCATATGGTCGCATCGAACTTCCGTTGTTCTGTGTCATGCATTCACAACGCTGCTGTCTCCTTCATACTTGCAATAGCAACTAAAGATTGGATTTATGTTTCATTTTACCCGAAAAACGTGACATGCATTAATCTCGACAGTGACTGAGTCAGTTTTCAGTTAAAAATATTGACTTGTGCATAAGTTTCGATTTGTAAATCGGCGGATATTAATCAGAACGGGCAGAAGTTATGCGTTTCATGGAACTTTACTTCACCCACACGCCACACGTATTTGTGAGTTCTGTACTTCACTTTGATGTATTGTAGAAGGTTAATTTTGTAATCGAATTGATACCAACTTGTGGAAAAAACTTGAATTCTAAATTTATGCATATCGTCCTGTGCGAAAGTAGGCTATCCAAGTCACCTTACGGAACTTCAACATGAAGTTCAGTCACCCCAGAAGAGTAATTAACAACGCAATTAAAAATAAAAGTTTGTCCAACTCATTTTATCGGTAAACAGTTACAGGAACACAATATAAACTCTTTTCTTTGATAGATGCGTGCCTTAACATTCCACTGCCCATGTTATTTGTCCTCGGTTTTAATGGATTGTTGATGATTCTTTTTCTGTGAGATTGAAAAGTTAAAATTAATTACAGAATTCAAAAGATATGTATTCCTGCATGCAAGAAAAATGATATAAATATTCCCAAAAGTATTCCGGACAGCGCATATCATAGCAGGACTTAACAAGAGAGGCAATGTAGAATTTCTCTGAAACGTTCAACATTATCAGCTATCCGGTTAAGAAAACATCTTTCAATTCTCAATCTATTTAAAAAACAAAACATACATAATAATTTGCCATACAAGTGTCGTCATTCATTTGTCGTATACGGTATATGTATATTAAAAATTAGTTTTAGGTAAACAAAAATCAAACTTGTAATTCATGATCGCTTTCTGAAACTAATACATTGTGACCCCAAAATATGGATATAGAGAATGACTTATTTAATTTATCTCCTAGTGGAATTGAAATTGCGTCAACTTCGTATCTTTCATAATTTTTATAAAACACAACATTATTGGACACGTAAGTGGACCTATGGAACGTTTTAATATTATGTTGTTGTTGTTCTTTGTCACAGAAAAAACCGCTTTTCTCTTTGATTACTGGACCAATTGCTTTGAAATTTTCAGTGCTTGAAGAATAAATTTTTCGCTAGAAAGCTATTGCTTTTATTTATTTCAAATATTCCGGTGAGCTGCATGGGATACGTTTTTGTGTGTGCTATGACGTCATTAGCACTAGGTGGCTACGTGTCCATATTTTTGAGCATACCTCACTTGTTGAAATAGATGATACTTATACGTAGTGGTCAATTTCAAATAAACACATCCCTGGCTGTGCGTCATGTATCGTCGTATGTGAGACGCAATTTGTTCCAATATCACAACTGTGTTGTTAGTGTGTATCTGTATGTTCTTGTTTATAGTGAATCTTCCAATGCGGTTATTGGACACGAAATGTGCATATGCATCATTTTGTTTAATTGGTGTTGTTCTTAGTATCGTTGTTGTGAAAAAGATGCTTTTCTTTTTAACTACTGGACCATTTGCTTTGAAATTATCAATGGTTTAGGATTGTTTTTGTCGCTAGAAGGCTATTAGTTTTATTAATCTCAAACATTTTGTTTTTCACTTTGTAGTCATCAAAATTTAAAATTAGGAACCGTGCGGCGGTTGCGTGATCGCATTTCAGCAAATTGGTGGTCATCGAAGTCGGAGTTTTTTGATAAGGAAGGCCACCGATACTGTAAAAGATTTGATACTACTACTTTTTTGACTTTCGTGTATATGTTTGAGCATTCCTCTCTTGTTTTTTATTCTAATAAGAGAAGTGACTTATAACAAGTGTGCCGAATGCCATGAACACAAACCAAGTCAACAAATAATCTTGAACAACCGAACGTAGCGGTACACATTCCTAGCTTGAGCAATTTTAATGGCGCAATAAAACAACTGTATACGCGAGAACATATTGTTCCGCTGCCTTATCTGTGACCCACTGTGTTCTTCTGGGCTATTGTCGGGGCCAATACTGTTTTTGATCTTCATAAATCACGGGATCGGCAACCTGCAGCATTAATAAAGCCATCGTTTCCATCAAACTCAAATCGACTCTTGAACACACCATGTACTCTAATGCATTTCAAAAGTTTACAGTTGCAGGTAAAAGGCGTCAATGCGTTTCTTTCATCGAGCATAATACTCCACCAACCATTTCTATTTATTACACTATACAGCTTCAAAATACTTCTGAAATAAACAAATCCTAACCTAGCAACATTTGGAATAATTACGGCTGGTAGCAGTAGTGCTGGCTCTCGAAAAAGCACTTTTGATACAATAATCTTGTTTTTAATATTTCATTAGACCAAATGAAATATGTATAATGCAATAATATAGTATAAATGTGCCAAAATCAAAAGAGTGTGAAAAAATGAAACTTACACTTCGGAAACCTATGTGATGTGTAATTATTGAGTAGTACCTGGCTTTAATCCTCCATCTTTTTTGAATTTCCAATTCTTCTAAACTGCTGTAGACACTTTGATTCACGGGAGCCAACGCTCCGAGAACCAAGAGCCACATGAGGCTCCGGGGTCGCAGGTTGTCGACCGATGTTATAAATGATCTTGCCAGTAGCTCTATAGCAACTAACCCCCAAATGTACCCCATTTCATGTTGAAATCATCAAAACAAAGTTAATTTTTCCCAAAATTCGAACAAAGACTTTCGTAGGAATCAAATTACACCAGCTTTAAGAACATAACATGTTCCAACCAGTCGTTATCAAATTAAAATTTATATTCTCAAGACCTTTGGCACTGATTGAAATAATTATATCTAAGTTCCCATCCGTACGATGTACATAATTACCCTTATTGAGATAATAGTTTCTGTTTACAACGTGAAGCACGAGCTCACGTTTACAGTATTTAATTAGATGTATGATCGACGTATAAATACGACTCCGATATCTTCCGATATGGACGATGTAAACCATTCTAAGCTAGTCTGGATAAATGTTTTAAGATTTGTATTCTGTGTGTTGTGGAAACTACGAATTAAAACATATAGAAATTTTTAACGCATCTTCATTCACGTGGGCGTTGAAGCTGAAGGGTGAACGGGTGACTTGCAAGTCAGAGACAATCTTCAAATTAGCAATATACGGTGACATCACATTCATTTACCAATCATATATGCTATAGCTACACAATATTTTCACAATAGTTCACTTGTGATACAATCTTTCTTGATAGTAATAAGTCTCCTGGTATGTTTCAGTTTGGAATGAACATTGGAATAAAAAGTAGAAAATAATATAAAACTCAACTAACTAACAATGAATGTTGACAAATCAAAAACTACACTTGTATCGAACAAAAAAGAGTATGGGGGAAATTGGAACAAAAAAGTTAAATTTGCGGCTGCAATACATATCTCTAGTTTCTAGAACACTACGGGATTTATCATGTTTTTTTTTATGCATGCCGTGGAAATGAGTATGCATCTGATATTCTGCAAAATGACTCTTGATATACTGCAAAATGAGCCTACCGAAAGCATGCATCGTATGCTGAGAAACTCAAGCAGAGGTTACAAGAGGGGTATAAAGAAGTGCGATTTCAATAAATACTGGAGAGAAGTATGCTCATATAAAGCATAATCTTCATACTTTCAAAATAACTACTTTTTGTTGCCGAGGATCAGGTCATCTACGTACGGTACACGTATCCCTAATTCCATTATTGCGGTGACTCCAGTTATCCTTCACTTGTAGTGAGTGTCATGTCAGACAGCCATTTTATTAAACCGACATATTTGAACCTTTATTTCAAGGCTTGTAAGAAATTTCACCCATTTGTTCATGGACAGTAGATTGTGTTCCAACAAAATGTTTTGCAATATCTGTTCTGCCCCTTCGTACCAGTCTTGCGATATCCACACGGTTATATAGGCTTACGTGAATTCATTAGGTTAACTGATATTTTATTCAAATTTGATATTAAGTATGATTTGCTTGGATTATTTTCATCCTCCATAATACAGATTATCCAAAAATAGTTTAGTGGACAACTTTGGTGTATTGCCGCAAATTTTTCTGCATACGCTCTCTTTGTCCTTCGGTTTTAGGGACTGCTCGTCTGCCATTGAGCTCTGTAGTTTTGTGTTTTATGTGTGCTTAATTTTTACTTTATGTTTTAAAAGTGATGGTCGTATAAATGGATTAAATTTTGAGTAACTACTGGAATAAACTGAGCAACTGATGTCTATTACTGGAATAAAAAGTCTCGGCAACGAAAGTTGGATGGTCTATCATGTGATGGTCAGTGGTGGAAAGTCACAGGCAAGGGAACAATATGCACATATTTGAATATATTGTAATCTGTTAGTCACGTAAATATTGAGATGTTGATGTGGTGCTGACTTAACACAATAAGGCCACAGCTTATTGTCAACCCGTGATTTATAACGATCAAAAACAGTGTTGGTCGCGCCCGAACAGGAGCTCTGAAGAACCCAGTTGGTAACAGGTTAGGCAAGAGAACGATATGTAACCATTTGAACATTTTATGATCTGTTAGTCATGTGAATCTGGAGATGTTGATGTGGTGCTCCGTTAACACAGAAATGCCACAGCTTACGATTTTGGGATTGTCGGTATCAAAAGCAAATAGAACTAGGTCTATAATATGATACCTGTTTTGTGTTGACAGCTTGAAAGATTAAAACTTGTCTGACGATTTTCAGTTGAGTTAGAAACATTCCTAATCGTAGTGAACGATTTCAAAATCCATGCTAATTTTTAAAAGTTTATATATTATATGCTCGTCAAAAATGCCCCCGAAAACAAAACGAGAATGTGTGTATAAAACTTACTGTCAAGAAAGACCAAATTTCGCGTATTATTCGCGTATAATTTCCAAGCATTGTTAGAAGAAAAATAACAAAAATTATTAGGACTGCTATTCACGACGTTACGAGTCTTGTTTAATTTGGTCGTAGTCGTGTGGTTCATTAACCATTGTTCAACTCACCCACTGAAACCACGAAACTGTCCAGCCAACACAATGGGCAATTTACCTCAAAATTATGCTCAAATGGCAGAATAAAATTCGATAAAATCAGAAGAATCTCAGTGAAGTGTAAACTACAATGTAAAATTATGGCACGTCTTACTAGAGCATAGGCGTACATCAAATGCTAAGGAGATTCATATGCATCAGAGTTAATACCACAGCCAAAACACTGTAATAATGACTATGAAATATTCTAGAAGTGTGATAATACAACATATACAATAACGAGTACATCCCTAAATTGCAATTGAATTGCAATTGCTTTGAATAAATGAAGAAAAAATAAAAATAATTTGCTCTAGAGTCTAGAGTCTAGACAGTGTTCACTTATTAAGCTACAATATCAACATACACTTGCAGTAAAAAAAACAAAATTTGCAACATGAAATTTAAAATACCACTACAAAAAAATCGACTCAACTTACCGATTTATCCGGTCAATAATACTACAAACAAGTTAACAGATACTTGAATACATAAAATTTATAATACAGTATTAGATGCATGAAAAAAGATCTAAAAACAGAAATTATTAAACTCAAAATCACAACAGCACAAAACGCTGTCACCCTCTTTAAACCTAAATTGGCAAAATCACGAGATAAACTAGCGCAATAACACAAACCAGTACACTCATATGACAAAAAGTAATAAATGAAAAGAAAGCTTATTTTTGGTTGATTTAATATAAAAAAAAAAACTTTTTAACGTGGAATATAGAAAATAAAATGACAAGAAAACAATATTAACAATATTTGACAACAAACAAATTACATTATAGTTATTTGTTGCTAGCAATTGTTGAGAAAGTACCACCCGAACACATTTTCATGCTTTGAGCCTGAATGTTCATGAGCATATAAATCACTACACTCATGGCTGCAATCCAAAATCTTGCATATTAATCTTGCTCGGATATTCAGTTTGTAATGTTCATTGAAATTTGTCGTTTCGTCTATCATTCCGATTGTCTATTACTACGGATTCAACCTGCGTTGAAATTTCTCAAATCTTTTATCTACGACCAAACACCCCACGAATGTCGGATATTTATTATAAATGTTTGATTACATAATTTAGTATTCATGATCGGAATAAAAAGTTGTAAATCTTTTATCAAATATGTGATTTATCAACTGGACACATTGTATTTGCTAGCAGACATAAATAAGTCTTGATACTTGTGTGTGTGACATAAAACAATGAACTGTTTGTTATTGGTCCATATTGCCGCTTCCTTCTTTTGCTTGAAAGTTTTCATAAAGATGAAATGATTGAAGGAAGTCGCTGACAGCCTGATAGCAAAATTCATATTGACCCTAAAAATAGAGATAATATATTCTGTAACCTCATTCAAAATTTGCGTATCTTGAAGTAGTGAATTTTGTTTTAAAATAGAATTTTGTTTTCCCAAAAGAAACAACTATTCTATAACACACAAATCGCATTTCATTTCTTAGACTGTCTACAACTCTGCATACCTTATTTCGGACCATCATCGGTCTTTGATCCCTCAGATCTTTCACTGTTCTTAAGATATCAACACGATTTTCATTTTTCAGCCTCGCGATTAGATTTGAAATGGCACAAAAAGTACCAGTTCGTCCAGATCCATCACTAAACAAACGCAAAATTGTTGAATAACTAATAGAGAAATAATCATTTGAAGAGATTTATCTGTCCAGAATCGTTATTTCATTTTCTGGTTGATTATTCACTATGTATAAGGCCAAAGCAAGGCCTGAGATATAATTACCTGCAATGTACAAGCGTTGTCATGTTCTCAGAACTTGCCAATGTTCGATTGTGCCTTTCAATGCTTGCAATTATCTCAAGAATAGTGCTAGAATTCGCTGGATTTACTTGTTCAGGCCATTGGTCGTAGTAAATTTGTGAAACTGACAACTGAATAATAAAAGGTATTTTTATCAGTTCAAATTCTGTCCTAGTCAATGCTTTTGTACAAAAGTGATTCATTACATACATGATCGATAGCAAATTATGGTATTCATGGGGATGATTCATTGTGAAAACCCTTTTTTTTTGCGCCGGCCATCAGTTTCAATATGGGTGCTCCGATGTATTCGTACCAAGATGGCGCACAACCTGAACATAGTATGTGTACCAGGTTAGGGTTGTTCAGGTTGTTCGTCATATTGGTACGAATGCTTCCGGAGCGCCTTAATATGTGTATAATATTTTAGCCCATAATACGTCACCAAATCCTATATCAAGTACGGACATCAAGTCAGTTGGACGCTCAAAATTACTTCCAAATACACAACCTTTTTGTCTTTGAGTGATATTACAAATTCTCTTTTCGTGTAACCCGCTGAACAGGTTTCTAAAGTTGTTTTTACATGCACAGGTCCGTAATTCCACTCCTCTGCTTTGTTGGGCCAAAAACAGTAGCTTGCCTTCTCGTTTTTCTGCAATGTTGGCATAGAATTAGTACGAATTGAAATAAAATTAAAACGAGAATATCGGTCAGAGACCGAAGACTTATCGATCGAAAGTTAGGGGATCCCCAAAACAGAAACTGGGTTTCGATTCGAAAAATTCTGCAAACCCGAACTGGATTGTTTTGAATAGTTTCCAGCCCATATCAAAAATGTAGGAAACAATAGCCAACTCCCCATGTCGTCGTCGAAATACTACTCGAGGAAATACTTTTATGAAGAATTCTGCAAATCCGAACTGGATTGTTTCGATTAGTTTCCAGCCAATAGCCTATTTACCAATCCTATATTTTGTGTCAAATACAACGGCGCTAACCCGGGTTGCGACGGCTATTCAAACACAGCCTAGCGATATTTTGGTGAGGAATTCTGCAACCCCGAACCTGAGAGAATTATAAGTAACGAGATACGATCTCGCGGCGTGTATCCTTCGCTCTGACTCAATAGCGTGGAAAATTTCTCGAAGGAAACTTGCGCATCGCGACGACGTCAAAGTTACAAGAGAGATATGGACAATGCTTAAAGATTAATCACGAGATACGATCTAGCGGTGTGTATCCTTCGCTCTGACTCACTAGCGTGAAAACTTGCGCATCGGACACGCACCCACACATTCAGCGCGTCTCGAAAATCTCTCGCTTTGTAAAAATCCGGATCTCTTCATCACTAATTAATTAATAACTCGCTAATTATACGACATAATTCATCCAAAATCAATAGGCTACTGGTCGGAGATATGATGAATGCACATGCGAAATTTGGAGCAGATTCAACCACTTCTTCGTGAGATATCGCGTGCATCTAACAGACATACAGACAAATACCTATCAACATACTTACCGATCAAAATCGATAAGTAACTAGATAGCGATCGGAGACCTCTGTTACGCACACAATCGTTCGCAGTGACGAAAGTTAGGGGATCCCCCAAAACAGAAACTGCGGTTTCGATTCCTTTGCTCTGACTCAATAGCGACACCGCGTGTCCCATCACTAATTATTTAATAATTCGCTAATTATATGACATAATTCATCCAAAATCAATAGGCTCTTGGTCCGAGATATGATGAATGCACATGCAAAATTTGGAGCAGATTCGCTTTCGTGAGATATCGCGTAACATACGAACGTGTCTAACAGACAAACAAACAGACAAATACATATCAACATATTTACCGATCGAGATCGATAAGTTATAAAACTATTCAATAATTTAATATCTAAATAGTAAAAAACTTGCCTCACACAGGGATACAATCATGCTGACTTTGTTATCTAAGATCATTCGCCAGAATGCCTCGGTACTTTCCGAAGATGGAGTTTGTGCTGCTATAAATATGTCTGTCGGATAGTAGGACTAAAAAGAAGTTTAAAAGTAGATACATAAATCACAGGGAGTATGGATATTGAGCATTTCTCAACTAATAGATGCATAATTTATATAAGATAACATACTTTCTAAAATATTCGATCTGATTTTCATGTTTATGTCAAGGTCAAAACTCTGACTATGACTTATACACTTAAACCTATACTCATAAATCCTACAAACGAAGATTGAAATTTCTTTTCAGACTACGACACATACATACACATACATAAATGAACATGTGACAACTTATTACACCCAATGGCATATGCATATACAGCCAAATCTATATAATACGGATTCATTCAAGTACATGTCGCTACAGGGGATTTCCCGCTTTGTGCAAAATACAAAATATGACGTTTACTAAAGCTTTATCTGTATACTGAATTTATTAAAAACGAATGCCATTGATTCTTACTTGTCTTAAGCTATTTATCATCCGGATTATCTCGATTAATTTGACTATTTTTGCTACCAAAATTGTGTTATCTATATATTGATTAATATGTGATAATTAGGAAGAAAAATATTAGTCAAATACCACAGCAGATATTTTGAACACCGTTATTCCCAGCGTGTGTACACAACAAAAATGTTTGCAATTGTTGCGGACATCTTTGGATGCGAATAGAGTTCCTTATAAAGCAATTCACAAGGCAATTATTTAAGTATTCCAATAAACCATCAGAATATTGAGTCCATATACACGGGTATATCGATTTCTCATGTTTTAAGATATCTGTTTCTTAAGTTGATAAACAACAACACTGTATATGTGTTGATTATTATTACAAATCATCGAAATATCTGTTATATAGGCAATTTAAAGTATCGGTATTCGTGTTGTTGTTCTCCTTGGTATCGGATCGATATCGTTATCAATGAATGTACATTTTATGAATGAAACATACTATATAGATTTGACTGTATATGCACATGGCATCGCTGTATATGCATATGGCATTGGCGCCATAGGTATATGAGTTGGCTGTTATGAATATTTTTGACTGTAGTTGGATATAACGTTACCAACCCTATTGAACAATCTTGCGACAACTCAAATTCATCAACAACAATGAGAAATCAAAAATTAATTATAATTTAGTGATTTCAGTCAACGAATGTTGCATCTACTTTTGAAAATGCAAAAAAAAATTCTACAATCTCATCCAGAAGTTATTTGATGGGCAGTCGCATTTTTGCCCCAAAACAAGGTATCTGGACTGGTTCTTCAAGCCAGACAGGACCATAACCCAACTTCCATATATCAACGTTCGAGTTTAACATCGCGTATTTTTAATCACGGAAGCTTCGATTGCTCCGTCAACTATTTGATAATGATAGCAATCTCACTGACTGGATCACTGACATTCAAAGTATTCCAAACAGTGCAGAAGGAAAAAAACACGCAGAAGCCATTGGCAGTTACCGTATGTGTTATTAATCTTACGATAACAATTTTGTGATTTATAGGGGATATACAATAACAAACTTACTGTGATGTTGCTGGCATTGTAATACGGTACACATTTGTCAGCGGGATTCATCTTAATTGACACCGCATTGTGGTCATCTGAAAACAAAATGAGATCTCATGTATAAAAGAAGTTCAAATGTTTCATAGGAAGAACGAGTAGCACGCAGAAAATGAAAGTAAGCATTAATTATAGGCTAATTGTGACTAAAATATTCAATGAGATGTGAATTATCATTAACAGCGAGTTTATAGCATTACTATGATATAATAATATCGATAAAAATGACTTACATGGAATGACTGTCCAATCGCAATTCAAATGTTTATTTTCCGTCTTCCATCCAGCAGCTTGAACTGTGTCGAGCGGTGGAAAATAATTCAGCATCTCAAATTCATGATCGATTTCATTTGACTGACCATTTTTTCTAAAATATTTCCAGAATTTTATTTGAAATTGTCCACTGGTGTTACATGCATATAGCCAGCTTTCATATATAATTAAATACTATAAGCATACATGATAAATTCATTCGTATTATATAATTTAATTTTAATGTCCAAATCTTTGCCTCTATGCACTTTTATTGCCAAAATATTGATATTACTCTGGACCTCATGTCATGTTAATCTCATATACATATATTGCGCCCTGAGATCATTTTCAAATCCACGATATATATGAAGTGAAAATAAAAGTTATTCTGGCAAATTGATGTTGATGTTGTTTGGACAATACAACGACATATTTTTCTACGGACTACTAAACTGATTGGTTTTGAATTCTCAATAGTTTAAGATGGAAGTGTTTCCTATATGGTTATAGCACTTGCTTTCATAGCTCATCTCAGCTTTTTCTAATATTAGGCTAAATATTGCTCCTTCACATCAATTTGCATATGTGAATATTTATGAAAAAAAAAGAGTTCAAACCTCATGATGTTTTTGTACTTTGACTCGAATCCACAAACATCGTCATCTGAATCACCAAACTGATATAACTCGAATAATAGTTTGTGGATAAGTATATATTGATCCTATAAAAATACCACAATGGTTAGAGATACGTCCGTCCATTAGTTGTATCACATATACTGTGTAGCTTGTTTGTTATAGAAATATAATTTATATTTTATTTATTACTACCTTTATCATTAAACCCCCATCGTAATGGTTTATTGATTAAATATTAACAAGTATTCAATATGGATAATTTAGTATCACGTTACTATGCGTCACAGTTCTGATATTAGAATATTCCAAACACGCGGTCAGTAAATATGCAAGACATATGTGATATGAGTCAGAATTATTTGCGAAGACAGTGCATTGAAAGATTTTTAACAGACAATGAAGTGACTAACATCTTTGACTCTGACGAAACGAATAAAAATAGAAACGACTGAATTTGGGGAGTGCAACAAATTCCAGTTTGATTTCTTCGGAAAACTATTTTGTTGAAATAGTGAGTTGATCATTGTTTTATATCTTAAAACTTCCCAACTTGACAAATACTGAATAAATACATTGCTAAGCAATTCTAAATGCAAATTGTTCCCTGTATGCACTTTTGCATCCTTCAGTCACAAGACAGTATTGAAAAGTGAATATGTTTACACAGCAACTTGCAGAAGTAAATATAACCGCTTAGGTTATATTCCGAGGAATATATAGCCTACAAAGGTTGAAGTACTAATTGAAACTCACCAATGTTTCGACCATCTCCGGCCTACGTTTGCGCATCTTACCGACTATTTCACATAGGTTAAAAATCTCTGATTTGGCGATCTGTTCTGAAAGTATGTCTAAAGCTATAAAAGTTCCCGTTCTACCCACGCCCGCGCTGTAAAAAAAATCATAAAAATGAAAATGGGTTTTACACATATTGCAAATATCAGCAAAATGAATAGAATAAAAGCTCATACCTGCAATGCACAACAATCGGTCCTACGGATTCGCTTTGAGGATGGGCCACTGCTTTGTGGAATCGAAACAAACTCGATGTTGCAACAGGAATTCCACGATAAGGCCATGCTATGAACTGGAACTGCAGGACTTCTCTTGTCTGAATAATATTTTGCAAATAGGATTAACCATGGAATCACAGTTAAACTTGATCACATTTCAATTAAATTATGATGCTTACCACATTGTTCTTGGATATTTCAAACCGACGACGAACGAAGTCTCCACATTTCGAAATTTCGATTAAATTGACGGTGATGTCTCCATACGTGATGCTCTGATCACCATCCTCGGACCAATACTGTGCACATCTAACCTTCATATAGAAGTATAACGTGGTAGGTCTTGGTATATTTTGTTTGGTGTTAGCACTGTGTTACTAAATTTGCTTTACGTCGTATTAAAGCGAGTTAATGTTAATTTTATTAAATATATATGTATATATATATATATATGTGTGTGTGGAATTGAGCATGACCATCTTCGGAAATTTCTTTGTTTGCTTTTTAAAGGATGTGCCGTATCAAATTAGGGAATGTTTCTCAGTAGTTAAGAACTCACTATAAACTCACGAGAAAGTATTTGGCAGTATTAAATATGTTTAGTAAATGACTATATGCACTATATGCATAGATGTCGTTCATGATCTGAAAATACTTATTAGATTCAAAAAAAGTTATGCGCCTGTGAAACTTGATTATCTTTATATTACCTTTTTGTCTTCTATTAATCTAGTCAACGCAGCAATAATGTAGCAATCTTTCTCCCATATCATTCTCCAAAAGTCTGTTATGGTATTTTGCCTGGGTCCTTGCGTAGCAATAAATTTGTTTGGAAAGTTGTATCCCTGAAAATGTAATAATATCATGAACTGACTATACTCGACAAGTATGGCTATTGAAATCCGCCGTTCCATGAAATCCTTTGCTGTTCTCATATACAGTCCATATCTTTGCATTGCACTTATACCGGTAAACTAGAATCGAACATAGACAAATTTATACGTTTGCACCCATGGACATTCGTATTCGCGAACATTTTCACCGATAGATATTTACTCTTATGAACATTTCCACTCGTCGATTATTGCACCACTATACATTAACACGAAGGGACATTATCGTATAATTGCACCCACTGGAATTTATATCAATGGATATTTTTAATCATGGATATTTACACCTGCGTATATTTGTACCCACTTTCATTTTTCCGGCTGTTTATTTGTGTTCGATGGAAAATTATGCCCTTGTTCCAATTATGCCTGACCTGGGGCTAGCTCTTCTCACCAGACTGTGAGGTAACGAGGCTGAAATGTTTATTACCTCTGAGTCATGGGTATTCTAATGTATACATAATGATGAGTAATAACGCATTACAAATCTACATTTATAGATATTGAATAAAGTAATGTAATTTTATCTTAAAAATTTGGGTGTGAAAATCTCCATGAAAACAAATTTCTGTGGGTGTAATTTTTGTGAGTGCAAATATTTAGTTGCACAAATTTTTTTATATGCGAATGTCTATGGGTGCAATATTTATGACTGCAGTCTGTACGCGGGTGCTTTAATCAGTTGGTGCAATGATCGTGGGTGTGGAAATATACAGGCGTAAATGTAATCTGTGTAGTTGCAAGGGTACGTGGATGCGAATATGTTGCCACCTCGATAAATTCGTGGCGTCAGCGGAAATACAGAAGGCTGGTATCCTTGTACTCACGTCAATGTAAGATGCGTTTATGTAATCGGAGAACTCATCGCCAGCTAGTTTTTGCAGTAAAACTCTTGTGTTATCATCTGGTATAAAAATAAAGATGCAGGTCAAGTTAATTTTTTTTAACCAGTAGAATCAACAGTATACAAACTAAAGGCAAAAGATGAAGCATACAGTTTCACCAGTGAAGGAAAGTCGCGAGGAACCAAAACTGGATATCTAGTAGCATAAAACATTTGAACACTATCGATCAGGAGCGCTGCCAGGATTTTCGAAGGGAGAATGGTTTCAAAATCCGAAATTCCTACTCAACGGCTCCTGAAGCAAACGCCGCGATTACGCACTTGTTAATGCGTGCCTCACACTTGTACTGCTTATCCCACATTTTAGGCGTTTTTTCTTTTTCTTCGAGCAATAAAAGATCCGACTTTTCCAGCATATACTGATTTTTCTGCCAAGTAAAATACTCAATCGATGATGTTTACGAAAATTTAAAATATCTTTCTATGTTAATTCAATTCTGTTTAACGTAACTCGCGGCGATGTTGCAAATTTTTCAACGCCGTTAGAAAAATCCCATAGAGTAAGAATTCATTTAGCACAATATAAAAACATATAAAGTATATTAGAATATGAAAATGCATATTCATCGTCTCGAAATCCCCGCAAAACTGCTCCTGAAACAATCACCACAATTACGCCTCATGTTTAAAGAGCTGACTTTTTCAACCGATAATGACCAATCTTTGACCGATGCGCAGGCTCATCCATGTGAATGAGATGGGATGGGACAGCACACATTTGTATTTCCAATGGGAAAAATATGTCCCATGGACAAGCCTGCCGATGCGTGAATATATAAAATGTCTTTATTAAATTACTTTTATTCAACATAACATATAAACAATACTCCTCTGATATACTATGGTAATCCACGGACATAAAAATATGTGGTAAAGTACCTGGGCTGATTATATCTTGTTTTCATTCGTATTTTGCGATTTCCCATATTAGACAAATCTGTGCTGTTCTTGCAACACTGACTTCGCTCTATTTCAGAGATATCGTTAGAAAAATCCCTACGTCTGTGATTAAATCCATGAGTTCATTTGATTGAATCATTTTTACTTTAATTCTCTTATATATGTATCAAGCCGCGTCAGGGCCCGTCGGTAGTTTTAGAATTGATCAAATTGTACATCGTTTGCACAATTCATTGTGTTTCGATTTCAATGACTGTATGGTTTTTAAAACCAAACAATTATTAAAAGGTGTGCTATAGGCACGAAGAAAATTTTTCAATTACCAATGTCTAAAAGAGCGTTTTAAATCTGTCGCTAGCCTCCTGAATCAAGACTTGGTGTTTCCGTTTTATTTTAAGTATTTTATAAGAAAAGTTCGGTTTACGGACTTACTCATTCAATTCTCTTAAGCATCTCGTCGTCGATGATTATAACAACTCACACTGGCGGGATTTTATTTACTTTTCTTTTGCGAGTACGGAAACATGCTTTAAGCGATATTGGTAACCTCATTGCCATTTCAGCTCCGATATACATAAATAACCTATAAACAGTTTTCGCATTACCCAGTACTATTTTTTGCACAATTTAATTGAAAAAATTCGAATAAAAAAATGTATATGCGACAGAAACTTAGTTTGATTAGCAATAAATTGTCCTACTTACACGGAACTATGTTTTTATATCTATTCTTCGGTTGATTTGCTGGTAATTTAGAAATTTCTGCTGTTAGCTTGCATGACTTCATTGCTGCTGGAACGTCATTCTAAAAATGGGATTAAGCTTGATTTTATGCATTTACCATAAATGATACATTTCATTTTTTGTGTTTAGATATATACCTTGAATTCCCGTACGAATAATAGATTCTCATCAGCCCTTTTGTCATTCATCAACTGAAACAAATTTGTCAGCTGAAAAGAATGTTTTCCAAGTAGTTGATTGCTAATTTTAACTGGATTCCGTTGCTCAATATTTGCTTCAACTTCCATATGCTCGACTACTTTAAGTGCGTGGTGGTCTGTAAAAGTGAATATTGCTTAGCACTGGCCGAGTTGTACAAACATAATAGGGCGATACAGTTTTGTGGAAACGAAAAAGTCAAACTCTTAGAAACAATTTGCGATGTGAATCATACATATAACTGAGGTAAAATGAATCAGGGCAGGCAACACCTGATTCACTATTGAATTCAAGTATTATGTAAATTGTAAACTTGTAATCATTGCATAAAGAAGTCATAGAGCATATATATAATGGTAAACGTAGCTGTCTTTGTGTCGTTTTGTTTAGGTCGGTGGTTCTCAACCTTTTTTCTTTCGTGGCCCATTTTCGTTGGACAAAAATATGTCTGTGGCCCACCTGAAAATGTTTCTGTGGGCCATGGGTCACTGGTTGAGAACCAGTGTTTGAAACATTAATATTACGCGATATGATCAATATTTACTAAAGATGAATTACTCCATATCCATTCGTTGTTTATCAAGCTGAAAAAGAATTTCCTAAAATATCTGTACCTCGATTTGGTGGAATACTTCTCATTGCAATCTCATCATACACATGATTTTCCTTCGCTTGTTTCCTACCATGAAAAACGCCGTTATTTTTTAGTGTTATTTGTTCTATTTTAGAATTTTCTATTTAAATAAAATCGAAAATATAAAACAACGATTAGATGATTATAGTGCATGGACTGTGAAATGAATATAGGTTTACGCATACAAGCGATTGTTTCAATATTTTTAATTAGAACTATCGTTTGATGTACTTAGAAGAATTAGAAAAGTTTTGCCCTCATTTTTGAACACTGTGGTTAATCATTTTAATCCCAAACTATTCAATGGATCAAATACATTAATAAATGATAGTGATTTGTGATGTGTCACAATGCTTTTTTAATCTTTTCAACAAAATATTTGACAATCACAATCGCGGTTTACCTTCTATAAATTTTATAAAATACGACACCAATGACGGTTAGAACTATTATCAGCACTATCACCAATGGTAGAATGATTTTGAGCGGTAAATCTGATCCTTGTCCAACCGTTTCTGTGAAAAATAATTGCCACAGTTGTTGTGGGTTCTCTTGTAACAGCTATAATAGCACAAACTTTACTTCTTAGTGTTGAGTAAATTCGAACGCCTATATTAACATTTTGTTCTTATTGTCATCAAAGCTTACCCTTTGTTACAGACCACGGCTCGGAAAAACCACTTGACACAATGATAGGATCACCGCCATCTTCATCCGGAACAGAAACCAGAATATAATGTTGGTATTCGCTGGCACTGTCCAGCTTTCGATTATTTCCTTCCACAACATTGTTTTTGATAGTTGATCTCTTTTTTCTACTATTGTCGTCTTTACTCCCGCAAGTTTCATTCGACCCACTCATATCACAGCAAGTTGTTCCACCATTTCCAAGAACAATTCTTTGAGTTTCATCAAACCTGTGAAAATGAATCAGCTTCAATAAGGATTAACTAAAAACAACCTTTGGCATGTATAAATGGTTACGCTGCTTGAGTTGTTCTGACATACCGATTCAAGGCAAACGCAACAAAACTATCTCCATCTTCCACACTATCATTGAACTGTTTCATCATGTCAACATCTTTTATATTTTTTGTTTCATTTCCGTCTTTTGTACGTTTTTGAACAACAACAATATAACAACTGAAAATAGCAGGTATGCACGTTTACAAAAGTCATCGGAAAAAAGTGAAAAATTATGTAGCATCATAGCAATCTATTCGAAGCGCGTCAGTCGAGTTTTTAAACTCATCATAACTCATATGTTTAAACGGTTGATTGAAGGCTGCTTATCGTTATATATATATTAAAAACTCCGTTCTAACTGAAATTTGGTTATATCTCGTTGGATAAATAATATGTATTCTTCGTAGTAAAAAAAGACAATTTTGAAAAATTCGAGAAAATAGCAATTTATGTTGGATAATGTTTACACAAGGTATAAATACCAAAAATACCCGGCGTCAACTAGTAATCTATCCGAAGTGCATCCATCGAGTTTCAAATTTTTTAACCAGATTATATAACAGATATATGGGTGATGAATAATGTGTTTTTTTCGTAGTGAAAAACATTTTTATAAAAAGTTCTGTAAAAAAATCTGTGAAACTTGTGGTGAATTGACTAATTATCAGATTGATGCCATTCATGGCAAATAGTGTCAACAAACTAAAGGGGTCATACTATACCTGACCGATCCATTTCTTTCATCAACTGGACTTAATTGTATTGTAATTGTATTATGTTTTGGATTGCCGCTGTCGTATATCGCTGGAGTGGTAACTACGGACGGAGCTGTAGATAGGACAAATATGATATTGTTTTATTAAGTTGAAAATGTCGAACTTCAACGCAACGCCGGACCGGATCCAAATGGATATGTATTGCGTCGTTAAGTTAAACTTTAGGGAAGTTAGGATTCCAGACAGGTAGAACAAATTTGGAATTGGAAGGGAACATTTTCAAAATTGTTTCATCATAATATTATTGACCAGATTTAATTAAAGAACAAAACGTAAATAAATTGCCAATGTACTGCGCTTTGCACAGTACTTGTAAACGATCAGGATATCTTCATCGCACTTACCTGCTCGTTTCGTAGAGCAACCAGTAGCAACATTACTCCATGCTATCGGCACTTTTCCGAGACACACAGCTGGGGGAATGGTGCCAACCTGTACTTTATATTGTGAGTTTGGATTTGTTGAAAACGCATATTCAAAAGTTATATTTAATTGTCTTTCCAAAAAATTGGAAGCATCGTTTGTGTTGGAAGATAATGAGTTTTTCGCTCTTTCGTCGATTCTTATCTGGAATATTATGAATATTGTGACATCAAATTACGATTAATAGAGCAATTATCGACCAAGACACTCACTGCATAACCACCAATGTTTCTTTTGTATTGCTGATTCCATTTAATCTTGCAAATTTTCCCAGTATTTGAAAGCATGATACTGCTTGGTGAACCAGAGGGTCCTTGGCTGGTTGTTTCACGATACTTCCGAAAATATTTTTCTTTATTTGAGCATCCTTCAATCTCTGGTATTACCTAAAATCAGTAAGTTGTTTTCAGATTTTTTTTCATCTTTGCAAAAGTTTCTGGTTTCGACCTACCTGTATCTCATACTGTGTGTTCTTTTGCAGTTTCAATAAATCGTGAGGTGCGTGTTCTTCAGTTGCTCTATTATCAGAAAACTTAAGTTTAATTTCACGTCAATTGAAAACAATCATAGAGAAAGACAAATAGCAACTCTGTGAATAACCATCTCACCTGATTTCCCCGTTTAGCTTTATTGTATAATTTAGTGATTCGAAATCTTTCAGTTCGTTCCAATCTACTGTCAACTTATTTTCATCGCAGATATCATTAGAAACGTTCACTACATTTTGCTTTGTTTTACCTTGAGTATATGATAAATAAAACTGTTATATCGGTATCATTTTTGAGACATATTCCAATTTCCTCAATTACCAATAACGGTTATTTTTGTGCAATTCTGAACATTTGTTAATGTAGCACCAGTAAACAGTATTCCTTTCCCACTTATGTACGTGTCTTGCGTTATATCTTTTAGAGTGTGTTGATCTCTATGGAAAAACAGATAAACAAGTAAACCGAAGGCATTTTCAAGCAAAAGAAACTGACAATGCAAATGAAGTAATTAAAATACTTTAAAATTGACCCATCTGTAGAATCTTCTCCATTTACGGAAAATGTTTTGTTTAGTTTTCCGTTTATGAATAGTTGAAAGTCAGCTTTTCCCGCATTATTTGTTACCACTTCGAAGTCTATTGTAATTGACCCGCCTTCCGTCGTTTGATATTCGTCTTTAGAAAATTTAACAGTTAACGGACCTGTGAAATATTCGTAGTTTTGTTGAAATATATAATCTGAGCGACAATAATGAGTAAGACTGATGGTAAATTTGTTGTTTCTCACCATTCTGGCAATGGCGTCCGAAAAACATTGGTGAACAATTGCATTTGTAGCTACAGCCGTACACTACGCATTCCCCATTCACACAATGATTTGGAGAACAAGGACTCTTGTTACTTCCTGCGAATGTAAAAATTTATCAATTTACTACTGGTTAGATACAGATTATCGTTTCGACGTGTTCAACAAATTTCAGAATGGAATGTTATCGAAGAAGAATTGACAAACATTTTGATTTCTTGTATACGCATATATCTTATTTAGACTCAGCTAAACGGAAAAGAAAAAAGATACCGCACTTGATTGTTCTGGCTACATTGAATCACACTGTTCATATCATTGACTTCATATTCAGTGCCCAGACTCAAAAATTAAATAAGAATATATAGTGATATTCAGTTTCTTAAAATTACGCCTTTTTGTGCGCCGAGAGTGGACCGTGCCAAACTATATATTGCAATCTATAAAAAGCTATAGAATGAATCCGGTCTTCTGACGATTTATTTGCGTTATTTTAAAAATATGAACACATTGTTATATTTATGCAATTATAAATTTGTGAAGATTTACTGAAGATTAATTTCTAAAAAATTACAATATACTATAATTTTTTTTTTCGATGATATACTTCCACATCTTGAACGTATTTCATTTCGTCTAACATACCGTTATCATCCCACATTTCGCATATATATTTGCGATTACAATAGATTGATACCGTTCTTTGATAATTATTTAATACCGCACAGTTCATGGTTGTACTCGTGCTGCCTGAAATTTAAAAATTCTTGGAATTAAACTATTGCAATATTCAAAAATATGCAATATAACTCTAAGACAACGATCTGCTCGGCACTCACTGTATGGATCACCATCGCCCCAAGTCCATTTCCCTTTATTTCTCCATGCGTTAATCAAAAATATTTTGGTAGAACTCATTTCATTGTTAATAAATGTGGCTTGTTTTACTGTCTTAGGCATGGCTAACTCGTATCCCGGGCCAGCCCGATCTTTGCACTTAGCTGCAGCTTTTTGTCTACCATTGACTGAATCATCTGATATCCAGTATTTACAGTTTTCATTCTTCAGTATTTTCACTAAAATTTAACAAAATGATTGGGTACATATATTCATTTATAGGCATTTTAGTGTTACATACTATACTCAATGGGGGAAAATAAAAAAAAATAACTTCGAATAATCAGAGTGCGGGAATATATTATGCCGTTGTGTGAACACTTGCTTGTGAAGACAACCAGAATTATGCTCGCGTATTAGCGTAATACTTCTCAAAACCAGCTGAATTCGGGTAAAACGGACCTATAGCGAATATCGAGCAAATATGAAAAATATAAAAAGTAACTATTTGAAGACACTTCCATTTTTTGCTATAGACAATTTGAAAGGGACCCAGTATAGACGAAAGCGATATTTTGTTACAACGACAGCATTCACAACCACATCCATGTTGACAACGATTAAAAAAAATTAATGACAGATTTATTTTATATATATTTAAATATTTATAAAAATATAAAAAATGACTTGCGTTGACAACTTCCGACCGTTGATATTTTAGGACTCCAGCTTGCACTTTCTCCCTCTTGTAGGCATCTGATAGTTTTGGAAGTTACTTCATTTTGAAATTCATATCCATCACTGCATTCAAGATCGCAAGTCGTTCCAGCATTTCTTTGGCATGTTGTCTGATATGTCGGTTTCTTCGAATATTTATTTCCCGGTTCGGGTATTTTGAGCGTCTCACAGGTTATACCTAGAAAAGGGAAATATATAAATTCAATTATATACGATTTAGACATATACATTATTTATTTTATTAATATTATCGCAGAAAAATTAATTTTATATTCTAATGAATATATATCAAATCAAACAATATTTTAGGATGCCATCATCACTCTGGCAACGTGTTTGCTGTGGAGATGAAATTTTAAAATACCACTAAATATTTTGCGGTAGGTTGTTCAGCTTGTACAAATACAAAATTGTTCGAGCAAATCACTACATAATTAATTAATATACACTTACGGACGCAAATTGCATTGTTTAATTTTTTCCATCGAGCTGTATCACCTGGACTGAGCTTTACACATGTCACCTGGTTTGCATCTCCTTCAAATTTATATCCACTCGCACACTGTAACTCGCATACTGATCCGAGGGCGTTGTTCCTTGTGCATTGGTTCTTCCTTGTTTCACCATTATGAAACAAATAACCCCCACAAGTTATTTCTGCGTGAACAAATATTGCACTTCATTGTAGTACATTTCAATATTGTCAATACAATTTTTATTATTATTAGTGATGCTTTTATCAAAGATTACGTTTGTCTCCTGCTCGAAACGCCAATCTCGATGCGACAAGGAATTTATAATAATTGTATTTATCTTATAAATATTTCGAAAATTCCTGTTTAATTTTAAATTAGGCAGCCTATTCAGTTGAAAAAACGTAGTAAGTGAATTAGGCAGCGATCCCATACTATAGGTCGCGACCCACTGGTGGGTCGCAAAAGGAATCTTAGTGGGTCGTGAAAAGATGTAGGAAGCTTTGGTTAATTATACTGGTTATTAGGATCGGTGGCAACTCGAATACGTAAATCTTCAAAAAAATCAAAGAAATTAAAATTGAATTTAAATTCTAATCTGTGAAAGTTTCCTTTTTACGATCTTCTCAAAGGAACAAAAATTTACTACTCAAAGAATGACCATGTGTTTTTTTTAGGCCCAGCTGTTTTGTACACTGTACAGCACTTCTTACCGTGTGTTCCCGAAATTTAGACAGAATTTAGATCCATTTTCTTTTGAAGAATAACACTATGGTTTTTTTGAAAGAGGTCTTTTGCTTTCATTTATCAAAAATAAAATTACATTGTAGAAAATTCCAAGATTTTTTACTAAACATTATATAAAAATCGACATCCATTGTTTTAATTTGTATTTCCTATACAAAAATCAAGTGACAAATATCATAATTGTGATATCACACAATCTTGAATTGTGGTGTGATCTTCTCCTTACCTCAGGCCAATAAACCTTTCTTCTCCCACACATTTTAAAATTTATTTTAAGGGTAGGGTTTAATAAAAATCATTTTGAAAATTCAAATTATTATCTTATTTTCAGACCAGGTCTTATTTTCGAGGAAACACGGTAGTTTTGCGATGATTAGCCATTGCTGTGTTCTGTGTTATGTCATAAAATTTTTTTTTTAATTTAAGTGGTTTGCCATAAGCTGTGGTAATAAATAGTGGGTCCCGACTCTCAAAAGTTTGGGAACCACTGAATTAGAGTGTTATTATATTCAAATATATTCAAAATTAGAATATTAATATACAAATATTTGACGATGTGGCATAGTTAGTGCTCAAACGCAACCTAATAAAATCATACGTCTTTGACCTTACTCTAGAAATACATATGGAAATATTACAAGCTAATGTTGTCTAGATTTTTGAATTCGTTTATGTCTAAAACAACTAGGGATAAAACGTCGCTAAGATTATGTAGTTTTGATTAAAAGTTTGGACATTTCCATGTTACGAGATGTTTTAAAACAAATAGCTATTATTCACGTTAGTTCTTGGAAAATGCAAGTTGATTTTAATGTTTATATGTACAGTATATAGATACTTCAAATATGAATATTTTGATTCGAGCTTCGTTGGCGAATTATATCTATCACTTCTTTGGAAGACTTACGAGCGCATTTTGTATTCCCGATTGATGACCATTTAGCAGGATTCGTGGTTCTTTTTCGGCATGTTGCGATTTTAGTTGTTCCTTTAAGTTCATATCCTTCTGCGCAACTCAGTGTACATTTTGAATTCACTGGTTCATTGGCACAAAGTTCAACAGAGCGGGTTCCGTCGTCAAATGATAAACCAGGACATGTAATTTCTGTAAGTAATGATTAAACACTTTTAACAATATAGCAACTTGTATAATATTTTTAAGAAAAGTAATGGTATATTTTAAAAACAATTTCATATGAAACAAAGCATGACAAAATAGAAAAAAGACTTGCGTTGACAACTTCCAACTGTTGATATATCAGGACTCCAACTTGCACTTTCCCCGTATTGTAGGCATGTGATAGTTTTGTAAGTTTTTCCATTTTGAAATTCATATCCATCGCTGCATATAATACGGCACGTCCTTCCAGCATTTCTTGAGCATGTACTTGTCGAATAGGTCGGCTTCTTCAAATTTTGTGAGTTTGGTATTATGAGCGGCTCACAAGTAATAGCTAGAAAAGAGAAATAGGCCTTCTTGTATTCAGTTTTATACTGTTCTGACAAACATTATTAGGTTCAGTTATGATATCATAAGGAAATTAATTTTTATATTTTAATAAATGTGAATCAACACAAATCAAACAAAATTTCGCTGTGTTATTATCACTTTTGCAACGTGTTTACTATGCACATTGAATTTAAAATATCACTAAATAATTTGTGGGAGGTTGCTTAGTGTCTACAAATTTAAAATTGGTCATTTAGATATATATATATATGCTAAATACTTACGGACACAACTTGCATTGCTTAGTTAGCAAATTATTCAATTAGAAAATGATTATTTTAACGTGATAAGTGAATTAGAGTAGCATTATATTCAGATATATTCAAAATTAGAGTATTAATATATAAATATTTGGTAATAGGCATAATTAGTACTCAAATGCAACCTAATAAAATGACCGCTACTTCTTTGACCTTGGAAATACATATAAAAAATATTACAAGCTACTGTTGACTGAAATTGCGGATTCGTTTATGTCCAAGTCTAAGACAACAATGGATAAAACGTCGCCAAGATTATGTAGTGTTGATTACATGTTTGGTCATTTCCATGATATGAGCTGTTTCAAAACAAATAGCTATTATTTACGTTAGTTCTTGAAAAATGTAATTTACTTATAATATTTATATGTACAGTATATATATACTTCAAATATGAATATTTTGATTCGAGCGTTGTCGGCAAAGCGTATTTATAACTTCTTTTTAGAAGACTTACGGATGCATTTTGTATTCCCGATTGACCATGTAGCGGCGGGATTCGTTTCTTTCCTGCATATTGCTGTTTTCGTTGTTCCTCCAACTTCATGTTTAAATCCTGCTGCGCAACTCAATGTACATTTCGAACCGACTGGTTTGTTGGCACAACGTCCAACAGAGCCGGATCCGTCGTTAAATGATAAACTAGGACACGTAATTTCTGTAAGTAAAGTAAAAAATAATAATTTAATATTGGCTGAGGCCGAGGTTCCTAAACTTTTGGTGTTAGGGAGCCGGTGAAGAGGTTGACTATTATTCACGGAGCCCCACAATAAATTTTAGAATATTTACTTACCGATTAATATTTCATAGTAAATTAAAATTACTTTACTTAATTTAAATGCTAAACCTTTTTCAATAGGGCCAATGCAAGCCATGAATAAATCTGAATTTCACACATAAATTATGTATAGTAAGGCTATAAATTTGACACTTGACAAACATATTAATAAACTCGGGGTCGGAACCACCTTCAAAAAAAATTTTTTTTTTTTTTAAAAAGTTGCTATAAGTGCGCGTTTTACATTTTGTCGAAATCGCCAATTGTTTTTGTCAGCGTGACGTGTTTTAGATCGTAAAGTTGCTATAAGTGCGCGTTTTACATTCTGTCGAAATCGCCAATTGTTTTTGTCAGCGTGACGTGTTTTAGATCGTAAACATCTTTACGTCGGTGTTTATTCTCTTTAATTCCTCGGCATATGCATTTATCGTTCCACGAGGACGACGATAATTACTTTTTTGTTCTCGGGCCGGATTATGAGTTCAGTGTGAAAAACAAGATAGTATAATATAGGCTTGCACGTAATTTACGGATTTACGTAATTACGTAATTATTTTGAGTTACGGAAGGGAAGTTACGAATTACGTAAAGTCGTAATTATTGCATTGAAACGAGCTTTCTTCAAAGCAGTCAATTTCGTCGATTGCGAAAAATGAAAGCTCAACAAGTAGAAGTTAGAGTTCCGGTATTCGCAGCCGTTTTTCTCTCTTTTACCTTTCTTGTTACGTAGGTGAAGGAGGGCATGACGCGTTGCCATTCACTAACCTATTATCAACTTCTCTGGCATGGCCAATGTAAATTATTAACGTAGTTAAGGGGGAAGAACTGAGTAGGGCCGTTTGACGCCAACACACCTGGTTTTAACTTCTCCCGTAACTTAACCGTAGATAAGGGATAGAATTGCGTTGAGACCGATTGACGCCAACACACCTGGTTTCAACTTCACTCGCATCTTATCTAGCTTGGCCATGGCCAATGTACATAATAACCGTAGATAGGGGGAAGAATTGTGTTAAGACCGATGGACGCTAACACGCCCGGTTTCAACTTCGGGTGAAATGACTAATGAACGCAGGAGATCAATCTTTCAAACATGGTCTATCAAACATTTGTAACCATTTTACTTTTATTTATTATTTACTTGTTCCAGTTTTCCGTTACTTATGGTATATATGTTCCGTTTCTATTTTATTCTATTTTATAGTCACGCGTTTAAATAGTGGGAATTCCCCACCAAGTGTGGATTAGCAATGCTTAACCATTCTTTATTGTTAATATCAACACTTGATATATGAACATGGAATATCATACTGTTTTTGGCTGTTTTATTTCAGACTTGGGGTATAAACAGGAAAATATCCATAACCTTTCAACACGACGATCTTGTGAAATTTAACGAAGAGCTTTCGCGACGAATTGGAACCAAATAAGCGAAAAGAGCGATTGATCACTCGCGCCAATAACTCGCCGTGATAATTAATGTCGCGCTTATCAAATAGCAATATGACGACAAAAGAGAGATTGCGTAATGAACCAACGCAACTTCGTCTTCTCGGCATCGGTAAAGCGATTAAGACGGCAGAGAAACAGCAAAACGACGGATTCCTCGCGGACCGCAAAAAATTTAACTGCTATCATATATAATCAAATATGAGCCAGTGTGTTTATTCTGTGCGAGATCCATTTTCTATTACAAAATCTTGATGTTCTGTTAACGGTTTTATCGTTATATATCAGTCCGGATGATGTTATATATCAGTCCGCATGATGTTTTTAACAATTCCTCTCAATATTTCGGCCATATATGATTAACTGTCTTACCAAATGCGCCAACTTATTTTGATTTATCGCCGACTTGAGTTAGCAAATAAATGTCGTGAGTGTAAAATAAATGTCACAAAATGCATTGTTTTGCGATATAACTTTTGTATTTTCGGAGAAGGCATATCATATAAGTTCGATATTTAAATTATACTCAAATAAATAATATTTGATCTAAATTTATCGCAAATAATGTTATAAACATTCAGTCCGCGAGATGAATAAATGTAAAATGAAGCATGGTAATCGGAATATCGTCAATAAGTCGACATCAATAATTATTATTATAAAATGCTTAACAAGGCAGTAATGTCGGATAATGCAGAAGACGCTGCAAAAACAAGTCTTCGTCGCGAGGAAATCGCAAGTATAATCAAACGAGTAAATACGCTCGTCGTTGGTTAATAAATTAGAAACCCGTAATTTTTATTCAGTATTAAGGTGGTTTTAAAAAACTATCCTTTCCATAAATATCCGTATACCAGTGTCGGTAATGATAAAATAAAATTGATCGCATAAAAATGGGACGGTTAATTTGCGAAGGTGATAAAGGAAAACCAAAGCTAACACAAAAGATAAAAATCAGAATAAAATTTATTTGAATTCACTCCTTGATATTTGTCTTTAACATCTGTCGACGGCGTGTAGTACTGCCAAGAATATGAAAACCCAACTTCAATGTCCCATTCGGAAAAGAAGTGGATTCAATTGGTTGTTATGATAGGTTTAAATGCGTGGAAAAATATCGCAATTACGGGGTCATTACGTAATTGATTTTGCCGTAATTACGGAATTGATTTTTGTCAATTACGTGCAAGCCTAGTATAATATAATCATCGGCGACGAGATGCTAAAAGTAATTAATAAATGGTCCGCAACCCAAATTTCTTGATTGAAAAGCGGCATTATAAAATGTTCAAAATAAAACCTAAAACGGAAGATAACGACACAAGTTTTGTTTCAGCAGATTCGCGACAGATTAAGAACGCATTTTTAGACATTGTATATCCCAAAATTTTGTTACGATTATGAATCGGGACGAACATAAATATCTTAATCAAACTACCGGCAGTGGGAATGTTTATCTGTGCGCAGTACGAAATCGCTTTCAATATCTTCTGATAACAGCGTTGTTCAGGATATACGGTAGTTCACAAGAGCTTCGTTTACTTGACTTTATTCATTGTTTCTCATTTTAACGCCGACCTTGGAAATTTGTAATGGCGATATCTTGCTTAAAAAGCACGTATTTCCTGTTATTTTAGAAAAGTAATCTTACATTGTAGTAATCGTAATAATAATTTTCACTCAAATGCGAGTAACGATGAACACAATTAAATTATTATAACATGACATTTTAAATGCTCGTATCGGCCATAGATTGAATATATTTCACGCAACATAAAACTCGTTTTCCACGGAAAAAGTCTTTTCCTAATGACGAGTATCCTATTCGAGTCTTGAAAAGGTATTTTTTTTTGACGAGTAGCCTATCTCCCATCATCTTATTCGGTTTATTTTTGATAATCAAATTTTCTAGTTTATTCGAAATCTGAAAATACGAAACCTTCCTCCGTAATAAAATCCTGCCTTTGCCATCGACTCTATAACTTCATTACTTATACTAAACTATGATATGTGAAGGATATTCCGTATTGAACATAAAAAATTTCGATGCTCTACATTTGGTTCTAATACTTTCTTTTCATTTGTAGGGCATGGATAAACTATAGCTTCACCTGGTTTTATCGCAAATGTTGAAAATACACCACATTTCAATTCTGTGAACGATTAATTTGACTTTCAACTCGGTTAAAGCAAATAATGCAATTTGCGTATATAGGAGTCCATTCTGCATTCGAACCTTTGTTATTTAATCGACAAAATATTCGATAAGATTTACTTGTGGGGTTCACAATAAAATTAGGTTTGCATTCTACTTGGCAGGAGGAACCTTGTCTCGAATTTCGACAATCTTGATCTGGTGACAAGTTGTAAAAGACTCAAATACGACGATGATAGAGAATCGCAAAGGACTTCTGCAAAATATGTTTTATCATTGCGAGTAATATGACGCGTGTATCAAGTTTCAGTGAGATGGTCAATCAATAGGCGCACAGTTTGCAATTCATATTGATCAACTTCTATTAGTTTTGCACTTCCCACTCTCTTGATAACATACTTGCATCGTCATGATGCCTTAGTCCTACTTAGCGTATTATCGATTGCAATAATATTGTCTATACCTTCGCAGTCCTTAATTGGATCTAAATCCCATTCTCCTTCAGAATTGCAATACAGACTTTGAGTTATTTTACTTTCAACAATGTATCCAGAATTACATTGTAAGGTGCAGCTTTCCCCCACAGCAGTTACATCGCATGTAGATGTCTTGATATTTTGAAACCTTGCAAGATCTGGATTCTGTGGACAGTTTGACGGTGTGGCTATTATGGTAGTGGTCGGCAGTTGTTCTGCTGTCGTGGTCTCTAAAAATGTTTGATAATATGAGTTGCATGCGGTTTCGCCGCGCATTCTAATTTCTCATGCAAGTTTCATATTTTTAGCTTAAACAACACTTCATATAGTAATGACATCTTATGGACTCGTCTATTAAGCTGTTTACTTTTCCAAATGTTTTAAATAAACCGGTTTTAAAATTTACTTACCTTCTTTGCAGGGCTTCAATTGCTTGAATCGCCATTTCAATATGTTACGATTATTAGTACAATTTAGAGTTTGATTCAGTTGGACGTAACCAGATTTACAACTCAGAGTGCATACGGAATTTTCTGTTCCAGATGGACAAGTGTCTTCTAGAAAGTACTTTTTCCATCTATCCGGCACGACGGCTTTATTGCATCTTGGAATTGAATCTTTAAAATTCACATAATGATAGAATTGTGGATGATGGAATGTAGGCTTGCACGTAATTTACGGATTTACGGAATTACGGAATTATTTCTAGTTACGGAAGCGAAGTTCCGAATTACGTAAATTCGTAATTATTGGTGGAGCGCTTTCGCGATTGAAACGATCTCTCTTTAGAGCAGTCAATTCCGTCGATTGTAAAAAATTAAAGTTTAATAAGTAGAAGAAGTTAGAGTTCCGGTATTCGCAGCCGTTTTTCTCTCTCTTGTACGCAGATGGAGAAGGCATAACGCGACAACGCGTTGCCATTTACTAACCTATTATCAACTTATCTAGCATGGCAAATGTACATATTAAGCGTAGATATGGGATAGAATTGTGTTGAGACCGATGGACGCCAACACACCTGGTTTCAACTTCTTCGGGTAAAATGACTAAAGAATGTAAGAGATCAACTTACCAAACATGGTCTATTTGTAAATGCCGTGATAATTAACGTCGCGCTTATCAAACAGCAATATGACGACGGAAGAGAAATTGCGTAATGAACCAACGCAACTAAGTCTTTTCGGCATCGGTAAAGCGATTCAGACGGCAGAGAAACAACAAAATGACGGGATTTCCCATGTTTATTCTGCGCGAGATCCATTTTCTATTACAAAATCTTGATGTTCTGTTACCGGTTTTATCGTTATATATCTGTCCGGACTTGGCCTTGTTTTCACAATGCCTCGCACTATTTCGGCCAAATATGTCTTTACAATATCTTTAAGTCTTTACCAAATGCGGCAACTTATTTTGATTTATCGTCGACTCAAATACCACCGGCACTCGACCAAACTTGTGTCAATCTTAGCCGATAGGATTGTCGACTTGAGTTAGAAAAGTAAATTAATATTTTCGTGAGTGCAAAATAAATGTCACCAATTGCATTGTTTTGCGATATAACTTTGTATTTTCGGAGAAGGCATGTCATATAAGTACGGTATTTAAATTATGCGCAAATAATTAATATTTGATCTAAATTTATCGCAAATAATGTTATAACATTTAGGCCGCGAAATGATTTAATGTAAAATGAAGCATGGTAATCGGAATATCGTCAATAAGTCGGCATCAAAAATTACTATAAAATGCTAACTAGGTAGTAAAGTCGGATAATGTAAAAAAACGGTACAATAACAAGTCTTCGTCGCGAGGCAAGCGCAAGTACAATCAAACGAGAGAATACGCTCGTCGTTGATTTATAAATTAGAAACCCAGAATTTTTATTTAATACGAAACTCGTATTAATACGTTAATACGACTTAAAAAAAGTCAACTATCGTTTCATAAATATATTACCACTTACCAGTGTTGGTAATGATAAAATTGATCGCATAAAATTGGGTGATAAAGTTGATAAAAAAAAATCAAAGCTAACACAAAAGATGCAAATCAGAATAAAATTAATTTGAATTCACTCCTTGATATTTGTCTTTAGCATCTGTCGCCGGCGTGTAGTACTGGCGGAAATATGAAAACCAAACTGTCCCAACTGTCGATGTCCCATTCGGAATAGAAGTGGATTAAATTGGTTGTTATGATAGGTTTAAAAGTGTGAAAAAATATCGCAATTACGGGGTCATTACGTAATCGATTTGGCCGTAATTACGGAATTGATTTTTGTCAATTACGTGCAAGCCTAATGGAATGTATGGAAAAGCATTTCTACTACAAGTTACTTACTGATAAAATAATGATTCCTTTTATATTTCTTTCTGTTAGGGCAGTGATTTTCTAACGGTGAAGTGCACCACACAAGGGGGCGTAAAGATTTCAGGGGGGTGAAAATAATTAAAAATAAAAATATGTGTTAGATTTGATCTTGTCTGCCTTATGTTGGATATTTACATTTCTTTATTGTTTAAGGGAGGACTGTTGTGCTTGTATCTTCATTATGCTTAGCGCGAAGCACGTTTAAGAGTTCAACTTCATCTATGTTTATTATTGCTTATTGTTATTTTTGAGGTGAGGCGCGAGACTTGACAAATTGGTCATTTGGTATTGCAAATCATTCATAAATTATTTCCGAGGCTCGCTAATTATCAAGCTCCTCATTTAATGTCTTGCAATCCTGTCTGCAATAATTATTGATCTGGCAAATCTGCCGAATACACCCGCTAGCTCGTATCTACGTCTGAAAATAAGAAAAAGTATACGCGACTACAGTACTAAAAGCAGCGGAGTCCAATGTCTATTCGCTGTTTTTCAAAAATGTAAAAGTGATTGTTGTGTCGCGGAAAAAAGTCACGTTAAATATTTACTTGAAACAATTGAATGTTGGTCACTTGATGAATTTAGTTTGGAGTCGTTATTTAATGTTGAATGTATGCTGTATGTATGTATATATTCAGTAGAGAGAAAACTGAAAACGGTGTTAATGAAGCTCTGTTCCTCATGGCAAAATGTTAAATAGTTTTTTTTGCGGTGGGAACCTATTGGCAGCGCGATTGTATAAACATCCCGTCTAACGCTTGAAGACCCAGCGAGGCAATTCACTACATTGGTAGCAATTTCAAAAATACATAAAAGAATATCTCTAGCATTTGCTTTACTTGATAAAAATACGAATTCTTTTTTACAAAGCTCCCGCCATTAGGAATAATTTGGAAATTTGAATTTCTGCGCAATCTGCATTCCTAGCGATCAACCTAACTAGATCATTACTAATTTTTATTATTAATTCATTTTTATTGAATTCTTCAAGAATGACCATTCTATATTGATATTGCCGAATAGCCGATGCAGACAATTGATATAATCGACGGCGCATCTATTATGGATCATACACGTAACATAATATTTGGTCAATCTGTACATTGAATTCAATATTTAATTTACAAACCTCCTGTAGCACCTTGCGCGTTGACACTAGCTTGTGTGGAAACTTCAGAGAGATATTGATGAAGAAGAATAGCGACAAGTCCTATTGCAATTTGGTTCTTCATCTGGAAAGTGGCGATTCAGTATCGTTGGTTTTGATTCCTAATAGATCTATTTATATTATCTGAGCAATGTTTTCATATTTAAACTGATAAACAAACGACAAAATATGATTAATAACTTTGTAATATATATCTCAGTTAATTCAACAATTACGTATTGACAAATCCTTTTTTTCTCCTCGAAGATATTTTAAAAACAAATGATATCTATTTTAAAACAGTTGCTTTGTAGTTTTTTCCCCAAGATCTTTTTTATCAACTCGATTTTTTAAAATTCTAGCTGAGAGATATTTTACAAATTAGTGTTTCAAATGATCAAGAAACAAGCAGGTCTCTTAAAGGAATTGGAATATTTTATTTCGGAATATTCAACTTGCACATATACTGCGCTTCCTAGTCGCGATCCGAAGAACTTAATTAAAGTCGTATGGAGAGTTCCAGCTCCTTGTATTCTCCGTTTAATTCTAACATCTGCAATGCTACGTTTTATTAGGATTGAAAAGTATGATAAACAAATATATATTTACCACAGAAAGTATTCAGATATTATATTTTAATTATCAATTACAACTTTTCTATTGAATCCAAAGCATGATGCTAATCGAATGCAACAAATAACTCATCTCTACACTTAACTGAGGAGCGTCTATTTCAATGAGTAATTTCTCAGTTTCACAAAATCAGCAACACCAGTCATCCTTTGCTGCGAGTCAATATGTTTCGTTACATGCAGGCCGTACTCAACCCTTAACAATAGCTTTGAAATGATGGCTGTTCAATATTGAATGGAATATTTGAATCAACCGAGAACACGTCATGCATTGAAGAAAAATTTCTTCTTTCCAGCATCATTCATGTTATGACGAATTCCCGAGCATATGGTCGCATCGAACTTCCGTTGTTCTACGTCATGCATTTACAACGCTGCTGTCTCCTTCATACTTGCAATAGCAACTAAAGATTGGATTTATGTTTCATTTTACCCGAAAAACGTGACATGCATTAATCTCGACAGTGACTGAGTCAGTTTTCAGTTAAAAATATTGACTTGTGCATAAGTTTCGATTTGTAAATCGGCGGATATTAATCAGAACGGGCAGAAGTTATGCGTTTCATGGAACTTTACTTCACCCACATGCCACACGTATTTGTGAGTTCTGTACTTCACTTTGATGTAGAACATAGGTTCTCAAAGTGCTCCGTACGGAGCCCCAGGGCTCCGCGGAAGAAACCTGGGTGCTCCGCGTGCTATTCGATTACTTTTCAAAATACTGACTTTGCTAATTTTGTAATTGTTCAAAGAAGCAATAACAGGTTTAATAAAATTTGACAACAGTATAGTCTCGAAATATGGCAAAGAGGCGGAATTCAGAAATGACATTATTTACAAGAAGGAGCGAAGCCAGGATTCTTAAGAGGGAGAGGGCTTCAAAATTGGAATCGGAAATTTTCGCGCAACATTCTTCGCGGTTGAAAAAAAAAATTTCAGTGGATAACGAGATTTCTGTTGCGTAAAATATTCAATCCATGACCATTGCGAGCAACATTTAAAATGTCTTGTCATAATAATTTGATTGTGCTCATCGTTACTCACGTTTGATTCGAGAATACTTTCAGGATTACTAAAATAAAAGATTACTATTCTAAAATAATATCAAATACGTGATAAACTGCCAACAATAAATAAATTGGAATCGTATTTTTGCGATCTTTGGATTTGTCAAACTTGATTTGTTTTTTTCGCACTCGAGATTATTTTTGGGCAAGATATCGGCGTTACAAAAAGCCCTAGGTTGACGTTAAAACTCAAAAAGGACAATTTGCAATCTATGACCGATGCGGGCATATTTAAAATGACTTGTTCGTTGGGTTAATTGTGTTCAATGTAATAAATCATTACTTCTCAAATTACCACGGCAATCCGCGGAAATGAAATGAGAAACAAAGTTAAGTGAATGAAGTTCTTGTGGACTACCGTATATCCTGAGCAACGCTGGTATCATAAGATATTAGAAACAAAGTCATGTTGCCCACAAAAAAACATATCTACTACCGATGCCAGTAGTTTGATAAGATATTTGTGCCCTTCCCGATTAATTCATAATCGTAATCATGGCTGATTGCGTGGCAGTGTGGTAGATTTAGCGAATTCGACAAATATGAGCCGTTCTTGCAACACTAACTCTTACCGCGCAGGTCTGCCACTCAGATTCTTTCCAAGATGTCGCCGTTTAAAAAATCACAAGATCTGGGCAAAATACGAACGATTGAAATTTATGTTATTGCACGCGTCTCCGTCGGTAGTCTCAGAATGGATAAAAGGTACATCGCGCGCATAATTGACTGTGTTTCGATTTCAGTTACTACGATGAATAACCAAAGAAACTCTAACATAACACCAAATTTTAGGATTTACAATGTCTAAGAAAGCTTTTATCTGTCGCGAGTCTGTTGAAACAAAACGTAGTGTTATCTTCCGTTTTAAGTTTTAGTTTTAATCATTCACAATGCCGCTTTTTAATTTAAGAATTTGAGTTGCGGATTTACCTCTTTATTAAATATTTTAGCCTCTCGTCGCCGATCAAGCAATGACTATAATATGGTAGCGATGCTTTCAGATTGAACTCCTAATTACCCACGAGAACAAAAGAGCAATTATCATCGTCATTGTGGAACAATATATGTATATGCCGTAGGGAATTTTTGATTTAGGGAGAATAAACACCGACGTAAAGATGTTAAGGTTTTTTAAAAAAAACACGCCACGCCGACGAAAACAATCGGTGATTGTAACAAAATGCAATCTCGCGCATTATTAGCAACCTTTTAAGTCTTTTAAAAATATCAAAAGGGACAAGATTCGACCCCTAATTTATTAATACGTTTGTCAAGTGCCAAATTTACAGCCTTTATATATATAATTTATCTGTGAAATTTAGATTTAATTATGGCTTGTATTAACCCCATAAAGTATCTTTAACTTACTCAGGAATATTGATCGGAAAGTAACAATTTTAAAATTTATTTTGGGGCTCCGTGAATATTAGTCAACCTCTTCACGGGCTCCGCAAGACCAAAAGTTTGAGAACCCCTGTAAATAGTTTAGAAGGTTAATTTTGTAGAAGGTGTAGAAGGTTAATTTTGTAATCGAATTGATACCAACTTGTGGAAAAAACTTGAATTCTAAATTTATGCATATCGTCCTGTGCCAAAGTAGGCTAACCAAGTCACCTTACGGAACTTCAACATGAAGTTCAGTCACCCCAGAAGAGTAATTAACAACGCAATTAAAAATAAAAGTTTGTCCAACTCATTTTAGCGGTAAACAGTTACAGGAACACAATATAAACTCTTTTCGGGGCTCCCGAAGTATGCGAACCAAGATGGCGGACATCGGAATGTAATATGTGTACTAGGTTAGGGTTAGGCCATAATTTTAGGTATAAATACTACGGGAGGCTCTTGGCTAGTCTTCGAACTGATAATAGGACTAAAATTAGGAAAATTGGAAAAAAATTATCGCCTAACCCTAACCTGTTACCCATGTTACGTTCCGATGTCCGCCATCTTGGTTCGCATACTTCGGGAGCACCCTCTTTTCTTTGATAGATGCGTGCCTTAACATTCCACTGCCCATGTTATTTGTCCTCGGTTTTAATGGATTGTTGAGGATTCTTTTTATGTGAGATTGAAAAATCAAAATTAATTACAGAATTCAAAAGATATGTATTCCTGCATGCGAGAAAAAATGATATAAATATTCCCAAAAGTATTCCGGACAGCGCATATCATAGCAGGACTTAACAAGAGAGGGAATGTAGAATTTCTCTGAAATGTTCAACATTATCAGCTATCCGGTTAAGAAAACATCTTTCAATTCTCAATCTATTTAAAAAACAAAACATACATAATAATTTGACATACAAGTGTCGTCATTCATTTGTCGTATACGGTATATGTATATTAAAAATTAGTTTTAGGTAAACAAAAATCAAACTTGTAATTCATGATCGCTTTCTGAAACTAATACATTGTGACCCCAAAATATGGATATATAGAGAATGACTTATTTAATTTATCTCCTAGTGGAATTGAAATTGCGTCAACTTCGTATCTTTCAAAATTTTTATAAAACACAACATTATTGGACACGTAAGTGGACCTATGGAACGTTTTAATATTATGTTGTTGTTGTTCTTTGTCACAGAAAAAACCGCTTTTCTCTTTGATTACTGGACCAATTGCTTTGAAATTTTCAGTGCTTGAAGAATAAATTTTTCGCTAGAAAGCTATTGCTTTTATTTATTTCAAATATTCCGGTGAGCTGCATGGGATACGTTTTTGTGTGTGCTATGACGTCATTAGCACTAGGTGGCTACGTGTCCATATTTTTGAGCATACCTCACTTGTTGAAATAGATGATACTTACACGTAGTGGTCAATTTCAAATAAACACATCCCTGGCTGTGCGTCATGTATCGTCGTATGTGAGACGCAATTTGTTCCAATATCACAACTGTGTTGTTAGTGTGTATCTGTATGTTCTTGTTTATAGTGAATCTTCCAATGCGGTTATTGGACACGAAATGTGCATATGCATCATTTTGTTTAATTGGTGTTGTTCTTAGTATCGTTGTTGTGAAAAAGCTGCTTTTCTTTTCAACTACTTAACTGCTTTTCTTTTTAACTACTCTTTTTTACTACTTGAAATAATTATATCTAAGTTCCCATCCGTACGATGTACATAATTACCCTTATTGAGATAATAGTTTCTGTTTACAACGTGAAGCACGAGCTCACGTTTACAGTATTTAATTAGATGTATGATCGACGTATAAATACGACTCCGATATCTTCCGATATGGACGATGTAAACCATTCTCAGCTAGTCTGGATAAATGTTTTAAGATTTGTATTCTGTGTGTTGTGGAAATTACGAATTAAAACATATAGAGATTTTTAACGCATCTTCATTCACGTGGGCGTTGAAGCTGAAGGGTGAACGGGTGACTTGCAAGAGACAATCTTCAAATTAGCAATATACGGTGACATCACATTCATTTACCAATCATATATGCTATAAATGGTGACAAAACCGTCTTGAATTAACCTTCTGAAACGGACCAGATCAACGGACAACAACCAGGACAGGCAACAATTGGACGGGATCAACCAAAAAGCTGACCGGGCGAAAGATAAGTTTCCTTTCCATCATCCAACATATTAGTCGTTAATTGGGGACATTGCATCTAATATCTCTGTTTTCTTTCAGCAGCGTTCAACAATTGCCGAGAAACCGTCTCTACAAAACGTGCGAAAATCAAATTCGACCAACTTACGAACGTCGAGGAGATTCAAATTGCCTGGAACAACGATTGAAGTAGCAAATTGCTGACAAGCCGAAATAATCAAAAACATTATGAAAAGACAATAATCTCAATTGAAAACAGTTGAACTATGGTAACGGACTCTGGAAACGTTAAAATCATGAATATGGACTGTATTGAACATCGCTCGAAATGAACTCTTTTAGAACATGGTATATGTTCGAGGTGAAAAACCTAATCAAAAAACGAACTGTTGAAAACAATGAACTATATGGACTGTTTTACGGTAAATTACGCGCTCTATTCCGAATAATTGAGAGAGGAATTGTCGCGCGTACCTAATGGATATACAGATCAGGAGCATGTTATGTTACAATTTGTTTCATGATTTGCAGGTTTTTCTCCTCATTGAGACAGACATTTTTCATTCTTCCACTAATACTAAGGTAAAGTACTTCTTTTTCTTCTCATATATACATGGCGTTTCATTCGGCTTTCAATTTTTATAAATTAATTAATGGTAACAACTTTAAATATTCTAATTTCAAATATCTTTCAAGAGCTTTATATTATTGAATATTTGTGGTTAGCATTCCTTTTCGATTAAATAGATTTCGTTAGAATTAAAATGCTTTCTGAAAGTAGATTCGAGCGGATCATACTTTTAATTATTTACAAAGCCGTCATATAGAACGGTGAAATAATAAGCTCGTTAAACAAAAATTGTATCCAAAAGCGTTATTTTTTAAAAAAAAGCCCTGAGATGGCATAAATCTAAAAATGCGCTTTTTCTTCCAGACATGGGACAAGCATATATATATTGACCAACTAGGTCTACAAAATCGTAACAATGCGATAAAGCGAGTATAAGTATTTTAACTTGGCGAAATACATTAAATTTAAATATGTTTCAACCGTCCAAACCAAAATTTTTAAAATAAAAATACGCCATCCTTCTGTAATTCTACTTTACAACCGTTACCCTTTCTATTAACTCTTCTTTATTTCAATGTCTTGTCTCATTGTAGATCATATACATGTAAATATGTTTTTTGACCTATATCATTAATTTTAGCATTGTGTATTGCATTTTTCTATATATTTTCAATTTATTAGAGGTGCCAAATCTTTAAATTTCCAAATATCCGGAGGGGGAGATAATATAGCAACTAACCCCCAAATGTACCCCATTTCATGTTGAAATCATCAAAACAAAGTTAATTTTTCCCAGAATTCGAACAAAGACTTTCGTAGGAATCAAATTACACCAGTTTTAAGAACATAACATGTTCCACCCAGTCGTTATCAAATTAAAATATATATTCTCAAGACCTTTGGCACTGATTGAAATAATTATATCTAAGTTCCCATCCGTACGATGTACATAATTACCCTTATTGAGATAATAGTTTCTGTTTACAACGTGAATCACGAGCTCACGTTTACAGTATTTAATTAGATGTATGATCGACGTATAAATACGACTCCGATATCTTTCGATATGGACGATGTAAACCATTCTAAGCTAGTCTGGATAAATGTTTTAAGATTTGTATTCTGTGTGTTGTGGAAACTACGAATTAAAACATATAGAAATTTTTAACGCATCTTCATTCACGTGGGCGTTGAAGCTGAAGGGTGAACGGGTGACTTGCAAGTCAGAGACAATCTTCAAATTAGCAATATACGGTGACATCACATTCATTTACCAATCATATATGCTATAGCTCCACAATATTTTCACAATAGTTCACTTGTGATACAATCTTTCTTGATAGTAATAAGTCTCCTGGTATGATTCAGTGTGGAATGAACATTGGAATAAAAAGTAGCAAATAATATAAAACTCAACTAACTAACAATGAATGTTGACAAATCGAAAACTACACTTGTATCGACCAAAAAAGAGTATGGGGGAAAATTGGAACAAAAAAGTTAACCTTGCGGCTGCTATACATATCTCTAGTTTCTAGAACACTACGGGATTTATCATGTTTTTTTTTTTATGCATGCAGTGGAAATGAGTATGCATCTTGATATTCTGCAAAATGACTCTTGATATACTGCAAAATGAGCCTACCGAAAGCATGCATCGTATGCTGAGAAACTCAAGCAGGTTACAAGAGGAGTATAAAGAAGTGCGATTTCAATAAATACTGGAGAGAAGTATGCTCATATAAAGCATAATCCTCAAATTTAAAAAAAAACTACTTTTTGTTGCCGAGGATCAGGTCATCTACGTACGGTACACGGATTCCTAATTCCATTATTGCGGTGACTGCAGTTATACTTCACTTGTAGTGTCATGTCAGACAGCCATTTTATTAAACCGACATATTTGAACCTTTATTTCAAGTCTTGTAAAAAATTTCACTCATTTGTTCATGGACAGTAGATTGTGTTCTAACAAAATGTTTTGCAATATCTGTTCTGCCCCTTCGTACCAGTCTTGCGATATCCACACGGTTATATAGGCTTACGTGGATTCATTAAGTTAACTGATATTTTATTCAAATTTAATATTAAGTATGATTTGCTCGGATTATTTTCATCCTCCATAATACACATTATCCAAAAATAGTTTAGTGGACAACTTTGGTTTCTTGCCGTAAATTTTTCTGCATGCGCTCTCTCTGTCCTTCGGTTTTAGGGACTGCTCGTCTGCCATTGAGCTCTGTAGTTTTGTGTTTTATGTGTGCTTAATTTTTACTTTATGTTTTAAAAGTGATGGTCGTATAAATGGATTAAATTTTGAGTAACTACTGGAATAAACTGAGCAACTGATGTCCATTACTGGAATAAAAAGTCTCGGCAACGAAATTGGATGGTCTATCATGTGATGGTCAGTGGTGGAAAGTCACAGGCAAGGGAACAATATGCACACATTTGAATATATTGTAATCTGTTAGTCACGTAAATATTGAGATGTTGATGTGGTGCTGACTTAACACAATAAGGCCACAGCTTATTGTCAACCCGTGATTTATAACGATCAAAAACAGTGTTGGTCGCGCCCGAACAGGAGCTCTGAAGAACCCAGTTGGTCACAGGTTAGGCAAGAGAACGATATGTAACCATTTGAACATTTTATGATCTGTTAGTCATGTGAATCTGGAGATGTTGATGTGGTGCTCCGTTAACACAGAAATGCCACAGCTTACGATTTTGGGATTGTCGGTATCAAAAGCAAATAGAACTAGGTCTATAATATGATACCTGTTTTGTGTTGACAGCTTGAAAGATTAAAACTTGTCTGACGATTTTCAGTTGAGTTAGAAACATTCCTAATCGTAGTGAACGATTTCAAAATTCATGCTAATTTTTTAAAGTTTATATATTATATGCTCGTCAAAAATGCCCCCGAAAACAAAACGAGGATGTGTGTATAAAACTTACTGTCAAGAAAGACCAAATTTCGCGTATTATTCGCGTATAATTTCCAAGCATTGTTAGAAAAATAACAAAAATTATTAGAACTGCTATTCACGAGTCACGATATTACGAATCTTGTTTAATTTGGGTCGTAGTCGTGTGGTTTATTAACCATTGTACAACTCACCCACTGAAACCACGAAACTGTCCAGCCAACACAATGGGCAATTTACCTCAAAATTATGCTCAAATGGCAGAAGAAAATTCAATAAAATCAGACGAATCTCAGTGAAGTGTAAACTACAATGTAAAACTATGGCAAGTCTTACTAGAGCATAGGCGTACATCAAATGCTAAGGAGATTCATATGCATCAGAGTTAATACCACAGCCAAAACACAGTAATAATGACTATGAAATATTCTAGAAGTGTGATAATACAACATATACAATAACGAGTACATTCCTAAATTGCAATTGAATTGCAATTGCTTTGAATAAAAGAAGAAAGAATAAAAATAATTTGCTCTAGAGTCTAGACAGTGTTCACTTATTAGCTACAATATTAACATACACTTGCAGTAAAAAAAAAAAAAATTTGCAACATGAAATTTAAAATACCACTACAAAAAAATCGACTCAACTTACCGATTTATCCGGTCAATAATACTACAAACAAGTTAACAGATACTTGAATACATAAAATTTATAATACAGTATTAAATGCATGAGAAAAGATCTAAAAACAGGAGAACCCAAAATCACAATAGCACAAAACGCTGTCACCCTCTTTAAACCTAAATTGGCAAAATCACGAGATAAACTAGCGAAATAACACAAACCAGTACACTCATATGACAAAAAGTAATAAATGAAAAGAAAGCTTAGCCATTTAAGTAAGTTAGTTATTTGCTTAGTTATTTGTTTCATGCTTTGAGCCTGAATGTTCATGGGCATATAAATCACTACACTCATGGCTGCAATCCAAAATCTTGCATATTAAATTTGCTCGGATATTCAGTTTGTAATGTTCATTGAAATTTGTCGTTTCGTCCATCATTCCGATTGTCTATTACTACGGATTCAACCTGCGTTGAAATTTCTCAAATCTTTTATCTACGACCAAACACCCCACGAATGTCGGATATTTATTGTAAATGTTTGATCATATAATTTAGTATTCATGATCGGAATAAAAAGTTGTAAATCTTTTTTCAACTATGTGATTTATCAACTGGACACATTGTATTTGCTAGCAGACATAAGTCTTGATACTTGTATGAGTTGATATAAAACAATGAATTGTTTGTTATTGGTCCATATTGTCGCTTCCTTCTTTCTCTTGAAAGATTTCATAAAGATGAAATGATTGAAGGAAGTCGCTGACAGCCTGATAGCAAAATTCATATTGACCCTAAAAATAGAGATAATATATTCTGTAACCTCGTTTATAATTTGCGTATCTTGAAGTAGTGAATTTTGTTTTAAAATAGAATTTTGTTTTCCCAAAAGAAACAACTATTCTATAATACACAAATCGCATTTCATTTCTTAGACTGTCTACAACTCTGCATACCTTATTTCGGACCATCATCGGTCTTTGATCCCTCAGATCTTTCACTGTTCTTAAGACATCAACACGATTTTCATTTTTCAGTCTCTCGATAAGATTTGAAATGGCACAAAAAGTCCCAGTTCGTCCAGATCCATCACTAAACAAACGCAAAATTGTTAAATAACTGAAAAATTACAAAATATTCCCTCGAAGCGGTTTATCTGCGTAGAATTGTTATTTCATTTTTGGTTGATTATTCACTATGTATAAGGCCAAAGCAAGGCCTGAGATATAATTACCTGCAATGTACAAGCGTTGTCATGTTCTCAGAACTTGCCAATGTTCGATTGTGCCTTTCAATGCTTGCAATTATCTCAAGAATAGTGCTAGAATTCGCCGGATTTACTTGTTCAGGCCATTGGTCGTAGTAAATTTGTGGAACTGACAACTGAATAATAAAAGGTATTTTTATCAGTTCAAATTCTGTCCTAGTCAATGCTTTTGTACAAAAGTGATTCATTACATACATGATCGATAGCAAATTATGGTATTCATGGGGATGATTCATTGTGAAAACGCTTTTTTTTTTGCGCCGGCCATCAGTTTCAATATGGGTGCTCCGATGTATTCGTACCAAGATGGCGCACAACCTGAACATAGTATGTGTACCAGGTTAGGGTTGTTCAGGTTGTTCGTCATATTGGTACGAATACTTCCGGAGCGCCTTAATATGTGTATAATATTTTAGCCCATAATACGTCACCAAATCCTATATCAAGTACGGACATCAAGTCAGTTGGACGCTCAAAATTACTTCCAAATACACAACCTTTTTGTCTTTGAGTGATATTACAAATTCTCTTTTCGTGTAACCCGCTGAACAGGTTTCTAAAGTTGTTTTCACATGCACAGGTCCGTAATTCCACTCCTCTGCTTTGTTGGGCCAAAAACAGTAGCTTGCCTTCTCGTTTTTCTGCAATGTTGGCATAGAATTAGTACGAATTGAAATAAAATTAAAACGAGAATATCGGTCAGAGACCGAAGACTTATCGATCGAAAGTTAGGGGATCCCCAAAACAGAAACTGGGTTTCGATTCGAAAAATTCTGCAAACCCGAACTGGATTGTTTCGAATAGTTTCCAGCCCATATCCAAAATGTAGGAAACAATATCCAACTCCCAATGTCGTCGTCGAAATACTACTCGAGGAAATACTTTTATGAAGAATTCTGCAAATCCGAACTGGATTGTTTCGATTAGTTTCCAGCCAATAGCCTATTTACCAATCCTATATTTTGTGTCAAATACAACGGCGCTAACCCGGGTTGCGACGGCTATTCAAACACAGCCTAGCGATATTTTGGTGAGGAATTCTGCAACCCCGAACCTGAGAGAATTATAAGTAACGAGATACGATCTCGCGGCGTGTATCCTTCGCTCTGACTCAATAGCGTGGAAAATTTCTCGAAGGAAACTTGCGCATCGCGACGACGTCAAAGTTACAAGAGAGATATGGACAATGCTTAAAGATTAATCACGAGATACGATCTAGCGGTGTGTATCCTGCGCTCTGACTCACTAGCGTGAAAACTTGCGCATCGGACACGCACACACACATTCAGCGCGTCTCAAAAATCTCTCGCTTTGTAAAAATCCAGATCTCTTCATCACTAATTAATTAATAACTCGCTAATTATACGACATAATTCATCCAAAATCAATCGGCTACTGGTCCGAGATATGATGAATGCACATGCGAAATTTGGAGCAGATTCAACCACGCCTTCGTGAGATATCGCGTGCATCTAACAGACATACAGACAAATACCTATCAACATACTTACCGATTAAAATCGATAAGTAACTAGATAGCGATCGGAGACCTCTGTTACGCACACAATCGTTCGCAGTGACGAAAGTTAGGGGATCCCGCAAACAGAAACTGCGGTTTCGATTCCTTTGCTCTGACTCAATAGCGACACCGCGTGTCCCATCACTAATTATTTAATAATTCGCTAATTATATGACATAATTCATCCAAAATCAATAGGCTCTTGGTCCGAGATATGATGAATGCACATGCAAAATTTGGAGCAGATTCGCTTTCGTGAGATATCGCGTAACATACGAACGTGTCTAACAGACAAACAAACAGACAAATACCTATCAACATATTTACCGATCGAGATCGATAAGTTATAAACTATTCAATAATTTAATATCTAAATAGTAAAAAACTTGCCTCACACAGGGATACAATCATGCTGACTTTGTTATCTAAGATCATTCGCCAGAATGCCTCGGTACTTTCCGAAGATGGAGTTTGTGCTGCTATAAATATGTCTGTCGGATAGTAGGACTAAAAAGAAGTTTAAAAGTAGAAACATAAATCACAGGGAGTATGGATATTGAGCATTTCTCATCTAATAGATGCATAATTTATATAAAATAACATACTTTCTAAAATATTCGATCTGATTTTAATGTTTAGTTCAAGGTCAAAACTCTGACTATGACTTATACACTTAAACCTATACTCATAAATCCTACAAACGAAGATTGAAATTTCTTTTCAGACTACGACACATACATACACATACATAAATGAACATGTGACAACTTATTACACCCAATGGCATATACATATACAGCCAAATCTATATAATACGGATTCATTCAAGTACATGTCGCTACAGGGGATTTCCCGCTTTGTGCAAAATACAAAATATGACGTTTACTAAAGCTTTATCTGTATACTGAATTTATTAAAAACGAATGCCATTGATTCTTACTTGTCTTAAGCTATTTATCATCCGGATTATCTCGATTAATTTGACTATTTTTGCTACCAAAATTGTGTTATCTATATATTGATTAATATGTGATAATTAGGAAGAAAAATATTAGTCAAATACCACAGCAGATATTTTGAACACCGTTATTCCCAGCGTGTGTACGCAACAAAAATGTTTGCAATTGTTGCGGACATCTTTGGATGCGAATAGAGTTCCTTATAAAGCAATTCACAAGGCAATTATTTAAGTATTCCAATAAACCATCAGAATATTGAGTCCATATACACGGGTATATCGATTTCTCATGTTTTAAGATATCTGTTTCTTAAGTTGATAAACAACAACACTGTATATGTGTTGATTATTATTACAAATCATCGAAATATCTGTTATATAGGCAATTTAAAGTATCGGTATTCGTGTTGTTGTTCTCCTTGGTATCGGATCGATATCGCTATCAATGAATGTACATTTTATGAATGAAACATACTATATAGATTTGACTGTATATGCGCATGGCATCGCTGTTTATGCATATGGCATTGGCGCCATAGGTATATGAGTTGGCTGTTATGAATATTTTTGACTGTAGTTGGATATAACGTTACCAACCCTATTGGACAATCTTGCGACAACTCAAATTCATCAACAACAATGAGAAATCAAAAATTAATTATAATTTAGTGATTTCAGTCAACGAATGTTGCATCTACTTTTGAAAATGCAAAAAAAAATTCTACAATCTCATCCAGAAGTTATTTGATGGGCAGTCGCATTTTTGCCCCAAAACAAGGTATCTGGACTGGTTCTTCAAGCCAGACAGGACCATAACCCAACTTCCATATATCAACGTTCTAGTTTAACATCGCGTATTTTTAATCACGGAAGCTTCGATTGCACCGTCAACTATTTGATAATGATAGCAATCTCACTGACTGGATCACTGACATTCAAAGTATTCCAAACAGTGCAGAAGGAAAAAAAACACGCAGAAGCCATTGGCAGTTACCGTATGTGTTATTAATCTTACGATAACAATTTTGTGATTTATAGGGGATATACAATAACAAACTTACTGTGATGTTGCTGGCATTGTAATACGGTACACATTTGTCAGCGGGATTCATCTTAATTGACACCGCATTGTGGTCATCTGAAAACAAAATGAGATCTCATGTATAAAAGAAGTTCAAATGTTTCATAGGAAGAACAAGTAGCACGCAGAAAATGAAAGTAAGCATTAATTATAGGCCAATTGTGAGTAAAATATTCTACTGCAATGAGATGCGAATTATCATTAACAGCGAGTTTATAGCATTACTATTATATAATAATATCGATAAAAATGACTTACATGGAATGACTGTCCGATCGCAATTCAAATGTTTATTTTCCCTCCTCCATCCAGCAGCTTGAACTGTGTCGAGCGGTGGAAAATAGTTCAGCATCTCAAATTCATGATCGATTTCATTTGATTGACCATTTTTTCTAAAATATTCCCAGAATTTTATTTGAAATTGTCCACTGGTGTTACATGCTTATAGCCAGCTTTCATATATAATTAAATACTATAAGCATACATGATAAATTCATTCGTAATATATAATTTAATTTTAATGTCCAAATCTTTGCCTCTATGCACTTTTATTGCCAAAATATTGATATTACTCTGGACCTCATGTCATGTTAATCTCATATACATATATTGCGCCCTGAGATCATTTTCAAATCCACGATATATATGAAGTAAAAATAAAAGTTATTCTGGCAAATTGCTGTTGATGTTGTTTTGACAATACAACGACATATTTTTCTACGGACTACTAAACTGATTGATTTTGAATTCTCAATAGTTTAAGATGTAAGTGTTCCCTATATGGTTATAGCACTTGCTTTCATAGCTCATCTCAGCTTTTTCTAATATTATGCTAAATATTGCTCCTTCACATCAATTTACATATGTGAATATTTATGAAAAAAAAATGAATTCAAACCTCATGATGTTTTTGTACTTTGACTCGAATCCAGAAACATCGTCATCTGATTCACCAAACTGATATAACTCGAATAATAGTTTGTGGATAAGTATATATTGATCCTATAAAAATACCACAATGGTTAGACTCTGCAGCGGTTCCTAAAGTGGGCGAAAACGCCCCCTTGTGGGTGTTTGCGATAATTTGGGGAGCGCTGATGGCGATTTGGGCGATTGAGGGCGCTGGCTATCAAACTGGGCGGTTGAGGGGGGCACTGACATTAATACGAGAACTCACAAGAAGTGTGATATTTTATGTCATTTACTCCTATGTTTTGGTTCAAACTAGTTTGCTTGTGATTTCGGTTCTATGGTGCTTTGAAGCGGTAGTGTAAGTACAACAACACCCTTATGTTATAATTTTGGTTTTGTTAAGAGCAACACGTGGCTTAAGAGCTGGGCATCTAATTAAACTGACGTACGCCAGATAGGACCATCTCCATATTGCGACTTAACTGGTTCATTTTTATTTCTTGGGTCATTGAACAATGAGGCTACATATGTAATACGTAAATTGGCAAACGGCAAGGATCTAGCCTGTTATATCATGTTGTGTCTGACATTGTTTAATGTCGGTTTATCATTTGTGTTGTGTAAGTTCAAACAATCGAATACAGTGTATTAAGCAGCTTATATAACTGATTTATATTAAAAACAGTATTATACAGCGAGATCCCCAAAAAACGGAACAGTCAATTTCTCAAAAACTTCTACGAAAATAGAGTGAATTATTTAATTTTGTTCACACTTGAACTTCTGTTTGCGTATGTTTGTACCCAAAAGTGTCGGAAAATCTAGGACGTTTTGCATAAAAATTATGTTTTTCCTAAAATATATTTCAAATGCTCTCCTCGGTATTGAAGAAAGAATTGCATTCTTTTTGCAACATTGTAAATTACTATTCTTTGGGTATTTCTCTATTTTATTTCTGCAATTGCAGTCTTGAGTTCTTGAGTTCACCAATCGTCCTGAGGATTGTCCTGATACAAATTGTCTTCGAACACCCTACATATTAAAATCTGAGAGGTTTCAGTCCGATAATTAAGGTGCCCACTGGATTTCATTGCTGGCTTTTCTGTCAGGAAAGCAAGCGTCTGATTTGATTTATGGGGGGGGGGGGGGGGGGGTCACCTCTGTCGATCCCTCAAGTTATGTCCAGATTTTTCTCGTCACAATCACGTAATGTTCTGTATTCACCGTTTGAACTCTTTCATTTCCATGGCCTGGCAGCAGAAGGTGCGCTTCAGCAGAAAACTAAGTGAGTGGTTGAATTTTGCGAAACTTTTGAGTATAGTTTTATGCAAACAGAAGTTCAAGCGCAAATAAATTTAAATAATTTTTTTGGAGATTGTTAAGAAATTTTTGATTTCCCTTTTCTAAATAACCCTGAATTTCCAGAAGCGAAAATCACCACTACCGTTGGGTTTATTCTTTCAAACCTATGTTCAGTTTTTCAGTATTCCATCTATTTGGCAACAGAATCAAATTGAAAGATCCTCACGTGTAAGATCGGGCCAGAAGTTTTTTTTATTACTCTTGCCAATTTATTCTTGGTAGAGCGTGTATTTAGTGCAGTGACCGCACTTTTACATATCAAGAGAGATTCCCTCGACAGTGTCAAACGAGACTCAAGACTGTTTTTGACTGAAATGAAGCCAGATATTATCAAACTGGTGGTATTTCACTAGGATCAACCTTCACATTATACTAATGATGAATGGAGAATAAAGTTGCTTCGCCATTTTTTTAGGGGGGTGTTTGCTAGTTAAAAAGTCGTTCGAGGGGGCGCTGGCAGAAAAAAGTTTGAGAAACATTGGGTTAGAGATTACGTCCGTCCATTAGTTGTATCACATATACTGTGTAGCTTGTTTGTTATAGAAATATAATTTATAGAGTATTTATTACTACTATTATGATTAAACCCCCATCGTAATGGTTTATTGATTAAATATTAAGAAGTATTCAATATGGATAATTTGGTATCACGTTACATCTATGCGTCACAGTTTTGATATTAGAATATTGCAAACACGCGGTCAGTAAATATGCAAGACATATGTGATATGAGGCAGAATTATTTGCTGAAACAGTGCATTGAAAGATTTTCAACAGACAATGAAGTGACTAACATCTTTGATTTTGACGACACGAATAAAAATAGAAACGATTGAATGAGGGGAGTGCAAAAAATTCCAGTTTGAATTTTTTGGAAAATTATTTTGTTGAAATAGTGAGTTGCTCATTGTTTTATATCTCAAAACTTCCCAACTTGACAAATACTAAACAAATACATTGCTAAGCAATTCTAAATGCAAATTCTTCCCTGCATGCACTTTTGCACCCTTCAGTCACAAGACAGTATTGAAAAGTGAATATGTTTACACAGCAACTTGCAGAAGGAAATATAACCGCTTAGGTTATATTCCGAAGAATATATAGCCTACAAAGGTTAAAGTACTAATTGAAACTCACCAATGTTTCGACCATCCCCGGCCTACGTTCGCGCATCTTACCGACTATTTCACATATGTTAAAATTCTCTGATTTGGCGATCTGTTCTGAAAGTATGTCTAAAGCTATAAAAGTTCCCGTTCTACCCACGCCCGCGCTGTAAAAAAAATCATAAAAATGAAAATGGGTTTTACACATATTGCGAATATCAGCAAAATGAATAGAATAAAAGCTCATACCTGCAATGCACAACAATCGGTCCTACGGATTCGCTTTGAGGATGGGCCACTGCTTTGTGGAATCGAAACAAACTCGATGTTGCAACAGGAATTCCACGATAAGGCCATGCTATGAACTGGAACTGCAGGACTTCTCTTGTCTGAATAATATTTTGCAATTAGGATTAACCATGCAATCACAGTTCAACTTGATTCACATTTCAATTAAATTATGATGCTTACCACATTGTTCCTGGATATTTCAAACCGGCGACGAACGAAGTCTCCACATTTCGAAATTTCGATTAAATTGACGGTGATGTCTCCATACGTGATGCTCTGATCACCATCCTCGGACCAATACTGTGCACATTTAACCTTCATATAGAAGTATAACGTGGTAGGTCTTGGTATATTTTGTTTAGTGTTAGCACTGTGTTACTAAATTTGCTTTACGTCGTATTAGAGCGAGTTAATGGTAATTTTATTATGTATGTATATATATATATATGTGTGTGTGTGGAATTGGGCATGACCATCTTCGGAAATTTCTTTGTTTGCTTTTTAAAGGATGTGCCGTATCAAATTAGGGAATGTTTCTCAGTAGTTAAGAACTCAATATAAACTCACGAGAAAGTATTTAGCAGTTGTAAATATGTTTAGTAAATGACTATATGCACTACATGCATAGATGTCGTTCATAATCTGAAAATACTTATTAGATTCATAAAAAGTTATGCGCCTGTGAAACTTGATTATCTTTATATTACCTTTTTGTTTTCTATTAATCTAGTCAACGCAGCAATTATGTAGCAATCTTTCTCCCATATCATTCTCCAAAATTCTGTTATGGTATTTTGCCTGGGTCCTTGCGTAGCAATAAATTTGTTTGGAAAGTTGTATCCCTGAAAATGTAATAATATCATGAACTGACTCTACTCGACAAGTATGGCTATTGAAATCCGCCGTTCCATGAAATCCTTTGCTGTTCTCATATACAGTCCATATCTTTGCATTGCACTTACATTGGCACTCGTGCACTTATACCGGTAAACTAGAATCGAACATAGACAAATTTATACGTTTGCACCCATGGACATTCGTATTCGCGAACATTTTCACCGATAGATATTTACTCTTATGAACATTTCCCATTTACTCTTATGAACATTTGTACCCACTTTCATTTTTCCGGCTGTTCATTTGTGTTCGATGGAAAATTATGCCCTTGTTCCAATTATGCCTGACCTGGGGCTAGCTCTTCTCACCAGACTGTGAGGTAACGAGGCTGAAATGTTTATTGCCTCTGAGTCATGGATATTCTAATGTCATACTTAACGATGAGTAATAACGCATTACAAATCTACATTTATAGATATTGAATAAAGTAATGTAATTTTATCTTAAAAATTTGGGTGTGAAAATCTCCATGAAAACAAATTTCTGTGGGTGTAATTATCAATGTGCTCAAATGTCCGTGAGTGCAAATATCTAGTTGCACAAATTTTTATATAAGCCAATGTCTATGGGTGCACTATTTATGACTGCAGTCTGTACGCTGGTGCTTTAAATCAGTTGGTGCAATGTCCCAGGATGTGGAAATATACAGGCGTAAATGTAATCTGTGTAGTTGCAATGGTACGTGAATGCAAATGTTGCCACCTCGATAAATTCGTGGCGTCAACGGAAATACAGAAGGCTTTTATCCCTTGTACTCACGTCAATGTAAGATGCGTTTATGTAATCGGAGAACTCATCGCCAGATAGTTTTTGCAGTAAAACTCTTGTGTTATCATCTAGTATATGAATAAAGATGCAGGTCAAGTTAATTTTTTTCAACCAGTAGAATCAACAGTATACAAACTAAAGGCGAAAAATAAAGCATACAGTTTTACCAGTGAAGGAAAGTCGCGAGGAACCAAAGCTGGATATCTAGTAGCATAAAACATTTGAACGCTATCAATCAGGAGCGCTGCCAGGATTTTCGAATGGAGAATGGTTTCAAAATCCGAAATTTCTACGCAACGGCTCCTGAAACAGACGCCGCGATTACGCACTTGTTGAGCGTGTCTCACACTTGTACTGCTTATCCCACATTTTAGGCGTTTTTTCTTTTTCTTCGAGCAATAAAAGATCCGACTTTTACAGCGTATACTAATTTTTCTGCCAAGTAAAATACTCAATCGATGATGTTTACGAAAATTTAAAAGATCTTTCTATATTAATTCAATTCTGTTTAACGTAACTCGCGGCGATGTTGCAAATTCATCAACGCCGTTAGAAAAATCCCAAGATCTGCTATAAAATCCCATAGAGTAAGATTTCATTTAGTACAATGAAAAAACATATAAATTATATTATTATATGAAAATGCATATTCATCGTCTCGAAATCCCCGCTGAACTGCTCCTAAAACAATCACCACAATTACGCTTCGTGTTTAAAGAGCTGACTTTTTCAACCGATAATGACCAATCTTTTACCGATGCGCAGGCTTTTCCATGGGAATGGGATGAGAAAGCACACATTTGTATTTCCCATGGAAAAATTATGTTCCATGGACAAGCCTGACGATGCGTAAATATTTAAAATATCTTAATTTAATTACTTGTATTCAACATAACATATTAGCAATACTCCTCTGATATACTATGGTAATCCACGGACATAAAAATATGTGGTAAAGTACCTGGGCTGATTATATCTTGTTTTCATTCGTATTTTGCGATTTTCTCTATTAGACAAATCTGAGCTGTTCTTGCAACACTGACTTCGCTCTATTTCAACGATATTGGCGTTAGAAATATCCCTACGTCTGTGATTAAATCCATGAGTACAATAAAAATTGATTGAATCTTTTTTACTTTAATTCTCTTATATATGTATCAAGCCGCATCAGGATCCGTCGGTAGTTTTAGAATTGATCAAATTGTACATCGTTTGCACAATTCATTGTTTTCGATTTCAATGACTGTATGGTTTTCAAAACCAAACAATTATTAAAAGGTGTGCTATAGGCACGAAGAAATTTTTCAATTACCAATGTCTAAAAGAGCGTTTTAAATCTGTCGCTAGCCTCCTGAATCAGGACTTATGGTGTTTCCGTTTTATTTTAGGTATTTTGTAAGAAAAGTTCGGTTTACGGACTTACTCATTCAATTCTCTTAAGCATCTCGTCGTCGATGATTATAACAACTCACACTGGCGTGATTTTATTTACTTTTCTTTTGCGAGTACGGAAACATGCTTTAAGCGATATTGGTAACCTCATTGCCATTTCAGCTGCGATATACATAAATAACCTATAAACAGTTTTCGCATTACACAGTACTATTTTTTGCACAATTTAATTGAAAAAATTCGAATAAAAAAATGTATATGCGACAGAAACTTAGTTTGATTAGCAATAAATTGTCCTACTTACACGGAACTATGTTTTTATATCTATTCTTCGGTTGATTTGCTGGTAATTTAGAAATTTCTGCTGTTAGCTTGCATGACTTCATTGCTGCTGGAACGTCATTCTAAAAATGGGATTAAGCTTGATTTTATGCATTTACCATAAATGATACATTTCATTTTTTGTGGTTAGATATATACCTTGAATTCCCGTACGAATAATAGATTCTCATCAACTCTTTTGTCATTCATCAACTGAAACAAATTTGCCAGCTGGAAAGAATGTTTTCCAAGTAGTTGATTGCTAATTTTAACTGGATTCCGTTGCTCAATATTTGCTTCAACATCCATATGCTCGACTACTTTAAGGGCGTGGTGGTCTGTAAAATTGAATATTGCTTAGCACTGGCCGAGTTGTACAAACATAATAGGGCGATACAGTTTTGTGGAAACGAAAAAGTCAAACTCTTAGAAACAATTTGCGATGGGAATCATACATATAACTGAGGTAAAATGAATCAGGATGGGGCAACACCTGATTCACTATTGAATTCAAGTATTATGTAAATTGTAAACTTTTAATCATTGCATAAAGAAGTCATAGAGCATATATATAATGGTAAACGTAGCTGTCTTTGTGTCGTTTTGTTTAGGTCGGTGGTTCTCAATCTTTTTTCTTTCGTGGCCCATTTTCGTTGGACAAAAATATGTCTGTGGCCCACCTGAAAATGTTTCTGTGGGCCATGGGTCACTGGTTGAGAACCAGTGTTTGAAACATTAATATTACGCGATATGATCAACATTTACTAAAGATAAATTACTCCATTTCCATTCGTTGTTTATCACGCCTAAAAAGAATTTCCTAAAATATCTGTACCTCGATTCGGTGGAATACTTCTCATTGCAATCTCATCATACACATGATTTTCCTTCGCTTGTTTCCTACCATGAAAAACGCCGTTATTTTTTAGTGTTATTTGTTCTATTTTAGAATTTTCTATTTAAATAAAATCGAAAATATAAAACAACGATTAGATGATTATAGTGCATGGACTGTGAAATGAATATAGGTTTACGCATACAAGCGATTGTCTCAATATTTTTAATTAGAACTATCGTTTGATGTACTTAGAAGAATTAGAAAAGTTTTGCCCTCATTTTTGAACACTGTGGTTAATCATTTTCAATCCCAACCTATTCAATGGATTAAGTACATTAATAAATGATAGTGATTTGTGATGTGTCACAATGCTTTTTTACTTTTTACAATCACAATTGCGGTTTACCTTCTATAAATTTTATAAAATACAACACCAATCAAGGTTAGAACTATTATCAGCACTATCACCAATGGTAGAATGATTTTGAGCGGTAAATCTGATCCTTGTCCAACCGTTTCTGTGAAAAATAATTGCCACAGTTGTTGTGGGTTCTCTTGTAACAGCTATAATAGCACAAACTTTACTTCTTAGTGTTGAGTAAATTCGAACGCCTATATTAAAATTTTGTTCGTATTATCATCAAAGCTTACCCTTTGTTACAGACCACGGCTCGGAAAAACCACTTGCCACAATGATAGGATCACCGCCATCTTCATCCGGAACAGAAACCAGAATATAATGTTGGTATTCGCTGGCACTGTCCAGCTTTCGATTATTTCCTTCCACAACATTGTTTTTGATAGTTGATCTCTTTTTTCTACTATTGTCGTCTTTACTCCCGCAAGTTTCATTCGACCCACTCATATCACAGCAAGTTGTTCCGCCATTTCCAAGAACAATTCTTTGAGTTTCATCAAACCTGTGAAAATGAATCAGCTTCAATAAGGATTAACTAAAAACAACCTTTGGCATGTATAAATGGTTACGTTGCTTGCGTTGTTCTGACATACCGATTCAAGGCAAACGCAACAAAACTATCTCCATCTTCCACACTATCATTGAACTGTTTCATCATGTCAACATCTTTTATATTTTTTGTTTCATTTCCGTCTTTTGTACGTTTTTGAACAACAACAATATAACAACTGAAAATAGCAAATATTCATGTTTATACAAGTCATCGGAAAAAAGTAAAAAATTATGTAGCATCATAATAATCTATTCGAAGCGCGTCAGTCGAGTTTTCAAATTCATAACTCATATGTTTAAACGGTTGATTGAAGGCTGCTTATCATTATATATTATATATATTAAAAACTCCGATCTAACTTAAATTTGGTTATATCTCGTTGGATAAATAATATGTATTCTTCGTAGTAAAAAAAGACAATTTTGAAAAATTTGAGAAAATAGCAATTTATGTTAGATAATGTTTACACAAGGTATAAATACTTAAAATAACTGGCGTCAACCAGTAATCTATCCGAAGTGCATCCATCGAGTTTCAAATTTTTTAACCAGATTATATAACAGATATATGGGTGATAAATAATGTGTTTTTTTCGTAGTGAAAAACATTTTTATGAAAAGTTATTAAAAATTATCTGTGAAACTTCTGATGAATTGACTAATTATTAGATTGATGCCATTTATGGCAAATAGTGTCAACAAACTAACGGGGTCATACTATACCTGACCGATCCATTTCTTTCATCAACTGGACTTAATTGTATTGTAATTGTATTATGTTTTGGATTCCCGCTGTCGTCTATCGCTGGAGTGGTAACTACGGACGGAGCTGTAGATAGGACAAATATGATATTGCTTTATTAAGTTGAAAATGTCGAACTTCAACGCAACGCCGGACCGGATCCACATGGATATGTATTGCGTCGAAGTTAAATTTTAGGGAAGTTAGGATTCTAGACAGGTAGAACAAATTTGGAATTGGAAGAGAACATTTTCAAAATTGTTTTATCATAATATTATTGACCAGATTTAATTAAAGAACAAAACGTGAATAAATTGCCAATGTACTGCGCTTTGCACAGTACTTGTAAACGATCAAGATATCTTCATCGCACTTACCTGCTCGTTTCGTAGAGCAACCAGTAGCAACATTACTCCATGCAATCGGCACTTTTCCGAGACACACAGCTGGGGGAATGGTGCCAACCTGTACTTTATATTGTGAGTTTGGATTTGTTGAAAACGCATATTCAAAAGTTATATTTAATTGTCTTTCCAAAAAATTGGAAGCATCGTTTGTGTTGGAAGATAATGAGTTTTTCGCTCTTTCGTCGATTCTTATCTGGAATATTATGAATATTGTGACATCAAATTACGATTAATAGAGCAATTATCGACCAAGACACTCACTGCATAACCACCAATGTTTCTTTTGTATTGCTGATTCCATTTAATCTTGCAAATTTTCCCAGTATTTGAAAGCATGATACTGCTTGGTGAACCAGAGGGTCCTTGGCTGGTTGTTTCACGATACTTCCGAAAATATTTTTCTTTATTTGAGCATCCTTCAATCTCTGGTATTACCTAAAATCAGTAAGTTGTTTTCAGATTTTTTTTCATCTTTGCAAAAGTTTCTGGTTTCGACCTACCTGTATCTCATACTGTGTGTTCTTTTGCAGTTTCAATAAATCGTAAGGTGCGTGTTCTTCAGATGCTCTATTATTAGAAAGTTAGGTTTAATTTCACGTCAATTGAAAACAATCATAGAGAAAGACAAATAGCAACTCTGTGAATAACCATCTCACCTGATTTCTCCGTTGAGCTTTATTGTATAATTTAGTGATTCGAAATCTTTCAGTTCGTTCCAATCTACTGTCAACTTATTTCCATCGCAGATATCATTAGAAACGTTCACTGCATTTTGCTTTGTTTTACCTTGAGTATATGATAAATAAAACTGTTACATCGATATCATTTTTGAGACATATTTCAATGAAAAAACAGTTTCCTCAATTACCAATAACGGTTATTTTTGTGCAATTCTGAACATTTGTTAATGTAGGACCAGTAAACAGTATTCCTTTCCCACTTATGTACGTGTCTTGCGTTATATCTTTTAGAGTGTGTTGATCTCTATGGAAAAACAGATAAACAAATAAACCGAAGGAATTTTCAAGCAAAAGAAACTGACAATGCAAATGAAGTAATTGAAATACTTTAAAATTGACCCATCTGTAGAATCTTCTCCATTTACGGAAAATGTTTTATTTAGTTTTCCGTTTATGAATAGTTGAAATTCAGCTTTTCCCGCATTATTTGTTACCACTTCGAAGTCTATTGTAATTGACCCGCCTTCCGTCGTTTGATATTCGTCTTTAGAAAATTTAACAGTTAACGGACCTGTGAAATATTATGAGTTTGTTGAAATATATAATTTGAGCGGCAATAATGAGTAAGACTGATGGTAAATTTGTTGTTTCTCACCATTCTGGCAATGGCGTCCGAAAAACATTGGTGGGCAATTGCATTTGTAGCTACAGCCGTACACTACGCATTCCCCATTCACACAATGATTTGGAGAACAAGGACTCTTATTACTTCCTGCAAATGTAAAAATTTATCAATTTACTACTGGTTAGATACAGATTATCGTTTCGACGTGTTCAACAAATTTCAGAATGGAATGTTATCGAAGAAGAATTGACAAACATTTTGATTTCTTGTATACGCATATATCTTATTTAGACTCAGCTGAACGGAAAAGAGAGAAGATACCGCACTTGATTGTTCTGGCTACATTGAATCACACTGTTCATATCATTGACTTCATATTCAGTGCCCAGACTCAAAAATTAAATAAGAATATATAGCGATATTCAGTTTCTTAAAATTACGCCTTTTTGTGCGCCGAGAGTGGACCGTGCCAAACTAAAAATATATTGCAATCTATAAAAAGCTATAGAATGATTCCGGTCTTCTGACGATTTATTTGCGTTATTTTAAAAATATGAACACATTTTTATATTATTCAATTATGAATTCGTGAAGATTTACAGAAGATTAATTTCTTAAAAATTACAATAAACTATAATTTTTTTTTTCGATGATATACTTTCACATCTTGATTTCATTTCATCTGACATACCGGTATTATTCCACATTTCGCAAATATATTTCTGATTACAATTGGAATATTCCGTTCTTTGATAATACTTCAATACCGCACACTTCTTGGAGGTTGTACTCGTGCTGTCTGAAATTTAAAATCATTGAAATTAAATTATTGCAATATTCGAAAATATGCAATAGAACTCTAAGACAACGATATGCACTGGACTCACGGTATGGATCACCATCGCCCCAAGTCCATTTCGCTTTATTTCTCCATGCGTTAATCAAAAATGTTTCGGTTGATCTCATTTCATTGTAAAGAAATTTGGCTTGTTTCGCTGTCTTAGGCATGGCTAACTCGTATCCCGGGCCAGCCCGATCTTTGCACGCAGCTGCAGCTTTTTGTCTACCATTGACTGAATCATCCGATATCCAGTATTTACAGTTTTCATTCTTCAATATTTTCAATAAAATTTAACAAAATGATTTGGAACATATATTCATTTAGAGGCATTTTAGTGTTACATACTATACTCAATGGAAAAAAAAACTTTGTATAATCAGAGTGCGGGAATATATTATGCCGTTGTGTGAACACTTGCTTGTGAAGACAACCAGAATTATGCTCGCGTATCAGCGTAATACTTCTCAAAACCAGCTAAATTTGGGTAAAACGGGCCTATAGCGAATATCGAGTAAATATGAAAAATGTAAAAAGGAGCTATTTGAAGACACTTCCATTCCTTGCTATAGACAATTTGAAAGCGACCCAGTATAGACGAAAGCGATATTTTGTTACAATGACAGCATTCACAACCTCATCCATGTTGACAACGATTAAAAAAAATAATCACAGATTTATTTTATATATATTTAAACATTTATAAAAATATAAAAAATGACTTGCGTTGACAACTTCCGACCGTTGATATTTTAGGACTCCAGCTTGCACTTTCTCCCTCTTGTCGGCATCTGATAGTTTTGGAAGTTACTCCATTTTGAAATTCATATCTATTACTGCATTCAAGAACGCAAGTCGTTCCAGCATTTCCTCGGCATGTTTTTGTCAGATATGTCGGTTTCTTCGAATATTTATTTCCCGGTTCGGGTATTATGAGCGTCTCACAGGTTATACCTAGAAAAGGGAAATATATGAATTCAATTATATACGATTTAGACATATACATTATTTATTTTATTAATATTATCGCAGAAAAATTAATTTTATATTCTTATGAATATATATCAAATCAAACAATATTTTAGGAGGCCATCATCACTCTGGCAACGTGTTTGCTGTGGAGATGAAATTTTAAAATACCACTAAATATTTTGCGGTAGGTTGTTCAGCTTGTACAAATACAAAATTGTTCGAGCAAATCACTATATAATTAATTAATATACACTTACGGACGCATCTTGCATTGTTTAAATTTTTCCATCGAGCTGTATCACCTGGACTGGGCTTTACACATGTCACCTGGTTTGAATCTCCTTCAAATTTATATCCACTCGCACACTGTAAATAGCATACTGATCCGAGGGCGTTGTTCCTTGTGCATTGGTTCTTCCTTGTTTCACCATTATGAAACAAATAACCCCCACAAGTTATTTCTGCGTGAACAAATATTGCACTTCATTGTAGTACATTTTAATATTATCAATACGATTTTTATTATTATTAGTGATGCTTTTATCAAAGATTACATTTGTCTCATACTCGAAACGCCAATCTCGATGCGACAAGGAATTTATAATAATTGTATTTATCTTATAAATATTTCGAAAATTCCTGTTTAATTTTAAATTAGGCAGCCTATTCAATTGAAAAAACGTAATAAGTGAATTAGGCAGCGATCCCATACTATCCCACTGGTGGGTCGCAAAAGGAATCTTAGTGGGTCGTGAAAAGATGTAGAAAGCTTTGGTTAATTATATTGGTTATTAGGATCGGTGCTACTCAAAGAATGACCATGTGTTTTTTTTAGGCATAGCTGTTTTGTACACTGTACAGCACTTCTTACCGTGTTTTCCCGAAATTTAGACAGAATTTAGATCCATTTTCTTTTGAAGAATAACACTATGGTTTTTTTGGAAGAGGTCTTTTGCTTTCATTTATCAAAAATAAAATTACATTGTAGAAAATTCAAAGATTTTTTACTAAACATTATATAAAAATCGACATCCATTGTTTTAATTTGTATTTCCTATACAAAAATCAAGTGACAAATATCATAATTGTGATATCACACAATCTTGAATAGTGGTGTGATCTTCACCTTACCTCAGGCCAATAAACCTTTCTTCTCCCACACATTTTAAAATTTATTTTAAGGGTAGGGTTTAATAAAAATCATTTTGAAAATTCAAATTATTATCTTATTTTCAGACCAGGTCTTATTTTCGAGGAAACACGGTAGTTTTGCGATGATTAGCCATTGCTGTGTTCTGTGTTATGTCATAAAAAAAAATTTAAATTTAAGTGGTTCGCCATAAGCTGTGGTAATAAATAGTGGGTCCCGACTCTCAAAAGTTTGGGAACCACTGAATTAGAGTGTTATTATATTCAAATATATATTCAAAATTAGAATATTAATATACAAATATTTGACGATGTGGCATTGTTAGTGCTCAAACGCAACCTAATAAAATCATACGTCTTTGACCTTACTCTAGAAATACATATGGAAATATTACAAGCTAATGTTGTCTAGATTTTTGAATTCGTTTATGTCTAAAACAACTATGGATAAAACGTCGCTAAGATTATGTAGTTTTGATTAAAAGTTTGGACATTTCCATGTTACGAGATGTTTTAAAACAGATAGCTATTATTCACGTTAGTTCTTGGAAAATGTGTGTGTTGCTTTTAATGTTTATATGTACAGTATATAGATACTTCAAATATGAATATTTTGATTCGAGCTTCGTTGGCGAATAAAATCTATCACTTCTTTGGAAGACTTACGAGCGCATTTTGTATTCCCGATTGATGACCATTTAGCGGGATTCGTGGTTATTTTTCGGCATGTTGCGGTTTTAGTTGTTCCTTTAAGTTCATATCCTTCTGCGCAACTCAGTGTACATTTTGAATTCACTGGTTCATTGGCACAAAATTCAACAAGGCTGGATCCGTCGTTAAATTGTAAACTAGGACATTTAATTTCTGTAAGTAATGATAAAACATTTATAACAATATAGCAACTTCTATCCTATTTTAAAGAAAGTAATGGTATATTTAAAAAACAAATTCATATGAAACAAAGCATGATAAAATAGAAAAAAAAGACTTGCGTTGACAACTTCCAACTGATGATATATCAGGACTCCAACTTGCACTGTCTCCGTCTTTTTGGCATCCGATAGTTTTGGAAGTTCTTCCATTTTGAAATTTATATCCATAACCGCATTCAAGATCGCACGACGTTCCAGCATTTACTGAGCATGTTGTCCGATATGTCGGTTTCTTCAAATAGTTATTTTGTGGATCTGGTATTATGAGTGGCTCACAGGTAATACCTAGAAAAAGGAAATAGGCCTCCTTGTATTCAGTTTTATACTGTTTTGACAAACATTATTTAGTTTAGTTATGATATCATAAGAAAATTAATTCTTATATTTTAATAAATGTGAATCAACACAAATCAAACAAAATTTCACTGTGTCAATATCACTTTTGCAACGTGTTTACTCTGCACAATAAATTTTAAAATATCACTAAATATTTTGTGGGAGGTTGCTTAGTGTCTACAAATTTAAAATTGGTCATTTAGATATATATATATATATATGTTAAATACTTACGGACACATCTTGCATTGGTTAGTTAGCGAATTATTCAATTAGAAAATGATTTTTTAACGTGATAAGTGAATTGGAGTATCATTATATTCAGATATATTCAAAATTAGAGTATTAATATATAAATATTTGGTAATAGGCATAATTAGTACTCAAATGCAACCTAATAAAATGGTCGCTAAGTACCGGGTATTCAAGTCTTTGACCTTACTCTAGGAATACATATAAAAATATTACAAGCTACTGTTGACTGAAATTCAGGATTCGTTTATGTCAAAAACGTCGCTAAGATAATGTAGTTTTGATCACAAGTTTGGACATTTCCATTTTACGAGATGTTTCAAAACAAATAGCTATTATTTACGTTAGTTCTTGGAAAATGTGATTTACTTTTAATGTTTATATGTATAGTACATACAGGGTGTCTCAAAAGTAAGTATACGCTTTTAATTTTGATTTGCTTTTCAGGTACTCATCATAGAGCGTTCATTTCTTCAGAAAACACAGTATGGATAAGTAGTAAAATTTAGGTATTGTTTGCATTTTATTATCAACCCACAGAATGACATGTTTTCCTCAGAGTGTCTGCTCCTTGGTCTTCTTGATCTTTGTGCATCAACTACAGATCGATTTTCATAAATTTAGGATGAATTGCACATTGCTATTTGGCAAAAAGCCTATAAATCGGTAAGGCAAACTCAGCGCCTCTTTAACAGAGAATTTGGAATTAATTCGGCTCGGAATTTTTTCCTTAGAGCGGCCGCTCCTTGGTCTTCCTGATCTTTGTGCATCAACTACAGATCCAGTTTTCATACATTTACGATGAATTACATAAATTGTTCGTCGTGTAGGAGCCAAGTTAATTCCAAATTCTTTGTTAAAGAGGCGCCGAGTTTGCCTTACTGAATTATATGCTTCTTGCCAAACAGCAATTTTGCACCTCATTCCTTGTTTAATTTTCTTGTCATTCTGTGGGTTAATAAAAAATGCAAACAATACCTAAATTTTATTACTTATCCATACTATGTTTTCTGAAGAAATGAACGCTCTATGATGAGTACCTGAAAAGCAAAATTAAAAGTGTGTACTTACTTTTGAGACACACAAATATGGATATTTTGATTCGAGCTTTGTAGCCTAACCGTATCTATCACTTCAATTTTGAAGACTTACGAACGCATTCTGTATTCCCGATTGATGACCACATAGCGGAATTCTGGGATTTTTTTCGGCTGCATGTCGCTGTTTTTGTTCTTCCTTCAAGTCTATATCCTTCTTCGCATCTCAATGTACATTCCGAACCCACTGGTTTGTTGGCACAAAGTTCAACAGAGTGGGATCCGACATTAAATTGCAAAGTAGGACATTTAATTTCTGTAAGTAATGATAAAACACTTATAATAATATAAAATGGGAACTTCTATCATATGTTTATGAACGAAATGGCATATTTAAGCAAAAAATATATATAAAACAAAGCATGATAAAATAAAAAACATTTCTATCTTTTTCCATCATCCTATTCGGTTCTATTTTCGTCAATCGTGTTTTGTAGTTAATTTGAAAAGCTAGAAATACGAAACCATCCTTCAAAATAAAATCCTGGCTTTTCGGTCGATTCTATAACTGCATTCCTTAATTAATACTAAACTAATATTCCATCATCAACAGATTGTCAATGAAGAACCTTACCTCGACATCTGACCTTCTGTGATGTCGGATTCCAGACAGCGGTTAATCCATCCCTGCTTGCAGTGCATTTGTACTCTGATGCTGGATATGACGAATATATTACGTTCTCAACATAAGAATTTTCGTAACATAATGCTGTACATTTAATTCCAATACTTCTTGCATTTGTAGCGCATGAATAACCTTTAACTCCGCCTATAGTTCTCGAGGGCGTTGAAAATTCACCACATTTCAATTCTGTAGATGAGTAGTTCGAATTTTACTTTGATTTGCACAAATGATGCAATTAGCGCATGCATATATTATAAATACAAATAAATTATACAAGCTGCTGTTGTTTGAAATTCTGGATTAGTTTTTATCTAAGACAACTATGGATAAAATTTCACCAAGATCCTATAATGTTGAATACATGTTTGGTCATTTCCATGATACGAGCTTTTTAAAACTAATATTTATTATTCAGGCTACGTCAGTTCTTGGAAAATGTAATTTGCTTTTAATGTTTATATATATATATATATATACTTCAAATATGAATATTTGGATTCTAGCTTTGTTGCCTAACTGTATCTATCATCATCTATCATAACTGTATCTATCATGGCACAAAGTCCAACAAAGCCGGACCTGTCGTTAAATGATAAACTAGGACATGTAATTTCTGCGAGTAATAAAAAACACTATATATGAAAAACATAATATAATTTGGTTAGGCTATCCGCAAGCCGCAAAACCAAAAGCTGCACTGCAAAAGCAGTAATGCACATCTTATGATGTTGATGTTAGTTCTGCCGTAAATATATAAATCTTTTTGTTACGTAACAATGCCGAAGTCGTCGATTTTCGGCATTGTGTGGTTTGATTGCACCGGCCACCGGCACAATTACGAAGGCTGTCAGATTGATGTCGAAAGCAAAACCTCTCAATGGCGCATAAAAACAAAGAATAAAGGGCAGAAGAGGAAGAACGTATGAAAAAAATTAAAGTAACCAAGATAAACGAAATATTTAAACCAAAATTGAAACAATTAGACTCGGGAATACCAAACGTAATTGAGGAGGAATTGAACCTGACGACTTTAGTTTGTCGTTATATAATATTGAATGCATGCTGTATGTATGAGTGTTAATATATCCAGTAGAAGGAAAACTGTGTTGATGAAGCTCTTTGCCCCATGACGAAATGTTAGATAGTGAATTTTGTGGTGATAACCTATTATTAGCGTGGTTGTCTGAACTTCCAGCCTAACGCTTGAAGCCCCGGCGCGACAATTCACTCAATTGTTAGCAATTTTAAAAATACATATATATATAATAAAATATGTCTAGCATTTGTTTTACTTGATAAAAATACGAATTATTTTGTACAAAGTCCGCGCCATTAATGCAAAAATTTAAGATTGGAGAAAATATCCCCACCAAGTTTTGAAATAAAAAATTAGTAATTATCCATTTCGGGTTCGGAACGATTTGAAAATTTAAATTCCCGCTCAATCTGCATTCCTAGCCCTCCCCCTAACTCTATCTGGATCATTACTATTTTTTCTTCTTGAGTGAAGGGTGTTTTGGCGGGGGTTTTATACAAATAATCAAAAATTACTTGAAGTGAACTTAATGAAGTGAAGTTTTTTATTATTTTCGCCGGTCCGGTCCGCGAAGCTTTTTTGCACACTTTTCGCTTTTTCGGTTTTAACTCATGCGAAAATGTGAAATGTTTTCACGTGTTTCTTTCTTTTTTAAAAGCATAGTGATTGCCCGAAATTACGCAAATAATATGTTATTATTTTCTGTTCCACTCATTTCAATTTTTCACTCATTTCAATTTTTTTGTCCAGCTAGAAGGATATTGCGTCTCCGACATTACATTATATTACGCAAATATATGTTATTCTCTTCTGTTCCGGTCATTTCACTTTTTTGCCGGTCCGCGAGTACATTTTATTTAATTAATCTACCGGTCCGCCAGGGTAGAAACCACTCTTCTATTTTATATGGATATTGCCGTATAGCCGATGCAGATAATTGATATATTCGACGGCACATCTATTATGGATCGTGTACATAACATAATATTTGGTCAACCTGTACATTAATTTATTAGTTAATTTACAAACCTGCTGTAACACCAGCTTGTGGGGAAACTTCAAAGAAAAATTGATAAAGGAGAAAAGCGACAAGTCCTCTTGCAATTTGGTTCTTCATCTGGAAAGTGGCAATTCAGTATCGTTGATTTTGATTCCTAATTGATGTATCTATGTTTATCTATATTTGAAGTATGTTCTCAAATATAAACTGATAAATAAAGAGAAAATTTATTTATAACTCTGTAACTTTATCAACAATTTACAATAACAATAAAACACAATCGGGGTTTTCCTTTTTTGCAGGGGTAAGTTTAATTAAACTAAATGATTTTTTTTATTTTAAAAAGTTAGTTTGTCTTTTCCCAATATATTTTTGGTTGCTGGGAGTTGGGGTTGCGAGAGAATAACACCTCCTTCCTCTATGCCTTTGTGCTAGTAGTAGATACCTGTATATACATAAATAGCTGTAGTAGGAATGAACATGATTATACTACAATACTTCACAAAATCTTGTTCTAAACTACTTGTCCGAGGAAGTCTGAATTTGGTCAAACGAAACGTTTCAGAAATACATTTGTGTTAGTGTGCATCAGGGATCGTGAAATACGTAGTATATTTGGTGGAAAATTTCCGAAGATTTTATTTCAAATCATTTAACTTTAATATGAACTGCGCTGATAACATTTTTGGCATTGGTTTAAAAAGTCGTCTATAAAATTTAAAATCATCCGCCCAATCCTAACATCTATTATGCTACTGTATGTTAGGCGTAAAACGTAATTAGAACATTAGGCTATATCAAACAAATGCATAATATTAAACGCAAAAATTAACATTTTGATCCTATAATACTCTAAAGTTAAACACAACTTACAAAATGATAATATTTTTATGCAAAAGAATACTTAGATCTTATCTAAGCAGTTTCCCGCCTATACCAACATTAGCATAGGCCTAATGGAGTGTTACTGTTTTTGTAACACGGATACGTTATCAGGGTAATGCTGACCTTTCGTTACGCGGGCGCAACCTAGATCCAGATCCTCCGAATCGTTTCGAAATGATAGAGGTGAATGGGAAATTTCAGCCGTGAACACGTCATGCATTGAAAATATATGTCTCCAGCCTCACTCATGATTGACAAATTTCCGAGCAAATGCTCGCATCGAACAGCGATTGTTCTACGTATTGCATTCATAACCCGTTGTCTCATTCATTCTTGTGATAGCAACTAGGTAATAAATTTTTCTATTCAATTTGAAAAATATTGACTTACATTCCTTACGAAGCTTACTGAGTCAGTTTCCAGTTGAAATTTTCAACTTGTTGGTAAGTTTCGATTTGTAAATTGGCGGAAATTTATCATAACGGGCAAAAGTTTTATAAAAATTTACGTCTTCAAAATTTTATTTTACCTTCTCTATTTTACCTATTCAACTGCTGTGCGCATAAGTTCAGTTGTGAAACTGCAACATTACTGAAGTCCCGTACCACAGAAGCACAAGCACAATATAAACTCTCCCCCTTGTTAAAGGGAAGGAATTGGTGAAGCCCTTCCTTCCCATTCATTCATGATAAATTCATTTTTTTCATAGTCGACCCGACAGAAATATTGGCATCTTGCTAATAAACCATTTAGCCAAAAGTAGATATTATTTAATTGGCTACTTTTCACCCAGGAAATAAATACAAGAATTTCATTATATTTTTACACATACTTTATCACAGGATTATTATAGTCTTCACTAGAACGGGGGATGTAACTAGCGCCCAAAAGCCTACTTATAAATCAGTATGTTCAATTTCGCGCCGTGTGAATACGGTTCCGTTCTGTGGCTTGAGTAAAATCCAATATACTTGTTCATTACTATAATAGAGCATTTCTATAATGGAGTGGACAGAGACTAATCAGTATGCAATTTATGGACCTAAGTGGGTCATTCCCCTTGCCCGAAAAGAGGTCATTCCAGTAAAATTGAATGATAATTTTATTCTTCAGCATTGTTTTTTATCAGAAATTGGATTATGTTGATGTTTTAAATTAAACTTAATATCCATTCTACTTGGTTTATTCAAGAGTACTTGTTTTGTCAGTAACTAATATTTTAATATATATTCAATATTTTATGACGTCATACGGTATTTTATAATTTTTATGATATGTAATTATATTTGTTGAAGGGGATTTTGCAAATTCTATAGCCTAGGGCAGGGGTCACCAAACTACGGCCCGCGGGCCAGATCCAGCCCGCGTCGTCCCTTCATCTGGCCCGCAATAACACGGAAAAATGGCAAATTTTTTTCCGATGGATGTTTCCCCGAAAATCGATTTTCTGGTTCATTTCGTTACATTGGCCAATCAGCAATATTCAAAAAGTGACGTAACAATAGACCATTACCCATCTGTCAGACATTTTTGTCACTCGGACAGATTTTCAGTCGGGGTTTTAAACAATAGCCTATCTCGTTTTTGCAATTTTGAATGCTATTTGGTAGTTTTTGGTCGTGATTCCGAAGTTTAAATATCAATCAAATAAGTCAATCATCATTTTGCCTTCTTAGGAGTATAATTGCAGTAATCAAAAATTGTCTAGAAATAGCTGTGATAAAATAGGCTAAAATTTCCTACGGGAACGCAACGTTCTGCGAAGGATGCACTCGTACACTCGTGGCCAGGACAACACTAAAAGGCTGAAGGAAGAAACGGATGAAGTGGCGGAAAAACGGAAGTTGAAGTGTTCCCAAAGGTGAAAAATTAAAAAACACTAAAAGGCTGAACACTAAAACGAAGAAGTGGAAGAAATTTCTTCCGAGGTGGCTGAAGTCACTAAAAAGCTGAACACTAAAAGGAAGAAGTGGATGAAATTTCTTCCGACGAATAATGAGGTGGTTGAAGTCACTAAAAAGCTGAACACTAAAAGAAAGAAGTGGATGAAATTTCTTCCGACGAATAATGAGGTGGTTGAAGTCACTAAAAAGATGAACACTAATAGGAAGAAGTGGATAAAAGTTCTTCCGACGAATAATGAGGTGGTTGAAGTCACTAAAAAGATGAACACTAAAAGGAAGAAGTGGATGAAATTTCTTCCGACGGGTGTTGAGGTCACTAAAAAGCTAAACACTAAAAGGAAGAAGTGGATGGAATTTTTCTACGACAGGTGGTGAGGTGGCTGAGGTCACTAAAAAGCTGAACACTAAAAGGAAGAAGTGGATGAAATTTCTTCCGACGAATAATGAGGTGGTTGAAGTCACTAAAAAGATGAACACTAAAAGGAAGAAGTGGATGAAATTTTTCTACGACAGGTGATGAGGTGGCTGAGGTCACTAAAAAGCTGAACACTAAAAGGAAGAAGTGGATGAAATTTCTTCCGACGAATAATGAGGTGGTTGAAGTCACTAAAAAGATGAACACTAAAAGGAAGAAGTGGATGAAATTTGTTCCGACGGGTGTTGAGGTCACTAAAAAGCTAAACACTAAAAGGAAGAAGTGGATGAAATTTTTCTACGACAGGCGGTGAGGTGGCTGAGGTCACTAAAAAGCTGAACACTAAAAGGAAGAAGTGGATGAAATTTTTCTACGACAGGTGGTGAGGTGGCTGAGGTCACTAAACAGCTAAACACTAAATAGAAGAAGTGGATGAAATTTTTTTACGACAGGTGGTGAGGTGGCTGAGGTCACTAAAATCCAAACACTAAAAGGAAGAAGTGGATGAAATTTTTCTACGACAGGTGGTGAGGTGGCTGAGGTCACTAAAAAGCTGAACACTAAATGGAAGAAGTGGATGAAATTTCTTCGGACGAATAATGAGATGGTTGAAGTCACTAAAAAGCTAAACACTAAAAGGAAGAAGTACGGTAGATGATATTTTGTCCTATCGATTTTGAGGCGGTTGAAGTCACTAACATACCGAACATTAGGAGAGTTAAATAGCCAAAACATATCCCGACGGAAGTGAGATTGGATGAAGACTCTGAAAGCGGACTGATGAGTAGGCATGCCACTTTTAGATTTATGAATTGAATCGATTCAAATCGCAATTCATTTCGAATCCGATTTACGCGAATGAGTCCAGCCTTAATTTAATATAACAATAAGTGAAATACCACAGTCACATATTCTGGGGTGGGACTGCGGGAACCAATGCTGTTACTGTTGCAGCACTGTTTAAGATGGTACAATAGAATTGTTTCTTGCGCTCATTTTCACAATTGAGTTGCATCAAATTGCCTCAGTCCTAAGGGGATGGCTGGTCAACACCGAATAGTTCCCTATTTCGAATACATTCGAAAATATTATTTTCAAATATGAAATTTCGAATACATTCGAAAATAAAATAAAGTAACTGAGGCTTATCTATAGTAGCCTACAGTGGCGGCGCGTCAATAGGGCCAACCGGGGCAATGCCCCGGTTGTTTTTTCGGTATAATAAAAAATATTCAAAAAATACCTCAATATCGGTTGCACAGACTGTCTACACTAGCCATATTCTCCCGACATGGTTCATTTTTCGCTCGCAAAGCCTTCGCCGAACGTCGACGGGGCGACGCCGATTTTGCCCCGGTTGCTCATTGTATATCGTATTCTCTCTTTTATCTTCCACTCGCCGCGTGTGTCTCGTTTGTTTTCTGTTTCTTTTACTAAATCATCGGGGCCGATCGGGGCTAGCCCCGAAATTGTGACGACACAATGCCGACGTTTCGTACAACAACGTGTTGACATATTCACGCATTCCTTCTCGTTCGTTGGTTGCTTGAAGAGTTGATAGTTTCCTCGCCTTCGTTTTTGTCGCTTGTTTCGCTATTTGAATCAGTTAGAGACCTTTAGTCCATTTGCTTTCGATTTTCCACATTCCTTTTGAGCTCCTCACTTCTTTCCGGCTTCGCATTTCTTAGCCTTAGACCTCATAATGAATAAGGTTGGTGCACTACTTCGCACTCCGTTTTCGCAGCTGCCGCTGGAACAAAAATTAGAGGTACAACGTCTTGGGCCTTATCAACCAAAAAATTGTTCACTGGAACAATCCCATGACGGAGGAAAGCGTCGGCGTACATTCTGCGCAGAAACTTGGTATAAAAAACACGAATGGTTGTGTTACAGCGAGGACAAAAATGCACTTTTTTGTTGTTAT